AACCCCCCCCCCCCCCCCCCCCCCCCAATGTGGGCGTGTCGTCTCTCTCATAGGGTGACAATAAAATAAAAAAAATCTTTGATATGTGTCATAACAACAATGCTCTAAGAAAAACAATACGAGCGGCGGATTAGTGTAAAAATTACGAGCATTTAATTTCTATACATTGTTAGAAAAGCGTCCTGAACCAGACGATTTCCTCCGCTTGCCTCGCTTCTGTCGAACGCGCCAGAGGCTTAAGAGTAGCAGCACCCCTAAAAACAATAATATAAGGCAGACTTAGAAGTGTTTGATTCAATGAACAGAGGAAAGAAGCCTTTTATTTTATATTTTTTTAGAAGTCTTCCAACTTACCAATAATTGCAACACCCGCAGGCAAAAACCAATGGGTAGCTAAAGGCACCTGCAAATCTTGCTGCAAACACAAGATCCTTAATCACAGAGTGACAAATATGACTACGAATGTGTTTGGAGGGGAAGGGGGGGGGGGCGTACTTGTGGCATTAACTTTCTCGATGAAAGGGAGTCAAACGGAAGAAAGCATAAGCCTCTAGTTAAACAAAGGACAACAAATAGAAGTACAAAATTCCTGTATTTGTTCGATATGAGAATCAAGAAAATCTTACATCATCTCCATTGGGGTCCTTGGTTCTTGGTGAGTAACCACCCTTCTTTTTAGTCATGTTGGACATTTTCATCCAAGAGCTCTCTGAGGTAGAATTTAAACCAGTACCCATATCAATAACTGTGTGCCCTGGCAATATTTGGTTTCTTCCTCTAACATGTAAATTGTAACCCTTAGTTCCCCACACTTCAACCCTAGAGTCATGCCCACAAATCAATTCCTTTCCAACAACAGCAGAATAGGTAGAGAAATTCACATCTGTTCGTCTGGAGGGTAATTGCTTCTCGTCTATATATAATGGTTTATCTAATCTTACAGAATCAGAGAAAAGTATGGGATCTTTAACACCCCTGCCGGCAAAGTCTAGTATTTTCTTCAAAAGCCCATAACAATTGGTAACCATATGACTGCTATCTAAACAGTTTGAGTCCCCATATGCTGCAATACGGCCCTTACCAGCCTCCACAAGACCAAGAATTGGAGTGTTTGCCTGCATCAATTTAACCATATCGCAAAGTTATGTTAGGAACTGCAACTAAAGCCATCCGCAGTTCATAAAAAGGTACTAGGTACTACATATTTTTTTTCAGGAGCATTGATTATGCATTGAAGGGCATTTTAGGTATGAAAAAGATGTTGTTCATGTCCCATGATTTGTAGGTTGGTTCTATATTATCAATTTTGTGATGGGCATTGCAATCGAGTATATCTCAGGATATAATCGATGTGTGTGGAAATAGCCTATGCTGGTGATGGTTTAGAATTTTCATATCATTAATCTTTCTTATGAAGATCGTAACATGAAGGCCTTCCAGCATAAAACAGTGCCGCTGTGATTTTTACAATTTTACATGAATTTATAGAGTTAATGGGTACTATAAAGCCACCAACCCCAACTAGTTTGAATTAAGGTGCAATTAAGGGTGATTATGATGAAGATGATGAAACAAAAAATGTGGATGCATTTATTGAAAGGGATAACTTTTGTTGCACATCCAATATACTAATGATGAATTGATGAGATTGTTAATGGGAAAGAGGGAGTAGAGTTTATTTGTCTCTCACAAAAATCAGGGAATGTATTGAAAATAATATGGATGTGGAGCACAAAATAGTACTCTGTATTCTGTAGTAGTATAATGAAAAAAAATCAGGCAGGGGGGCACAAATAAGAACAGCTTTTTATCTCACCTTGGTCGTGCCAGATAACAGAACGTTCTGAGTTGCCCCACTTTCTGAACTATCGAGGAAAGGGAAGCTGTGTAGATATCCACCTCTAGGAAACTTGACAATGTCAGTTCCAGATGCATATCGACTCTGCTCACCATCAATGACAAAATCACCATTAAGAATTTTATCTCCAAATGCAATCCCAAATGGAGCCAAAAGATCATTCAAAGCAGGCACATTTGCACCTCCAGTTATAGGGGTCCACCAACTCCGTGTATTATCATCAAAGAATCTCATCTTCACCATTGTATCCACATTATACCAATCAGCAAATACAACCACACTTAATCCAGTGTTGATGACATCATCCCTGAGCTTCTTGATCTCTTCACCAAAGTACTCATCCTCAAGATCCACAAGGAGAAGAGTCCCGTAGTGTCGTGCATCAAAGCATGTAAGAGGGGATCCAAGTGTTTCAACATAATACCCCCCATCCCTTAGCATGTCAAACATAATATGGAAGTTTGTATGAAGATGATCTCCATGCCAGTCAAGGATGTCGTTCCTAACATCCAAAGAGTCTCTTGGTATATAGCCAGGAGGGTACTTGATACTATGAAACTGATCCCATAAAACCCGAGCTTCTCTTGGTGGGGTAGGAACCACTTTCACTCTTAACATAAGGATACATGTACTTCGGCGAGATTTTTCCCCTGGAGCAGGAGGGCTATATACCTTAACAGTAACATTTCCTTCAATATCCCCCGAAAATTTAGCTCCCTCTTCCTTAATTTGCATGTGAAGAGCCAGATATCCCGTCCATGGCCAAATAACACCAGAATAGGTGAAGTGTATACTAAGAAGATTGCCCTCCTCATCCGAGGGATTCCATGTCGGTGGGCTTTCAACATAACCAAGAACACCCATTCCATTTAAAATGGTAGCATTAAAAATAACTGGCATGGCACCAGCATAGAGTGGTTGGAAGCAAAATGGCCAAGAATAAGGACAATCTCTGTAATCAAGAACACTGGGAAAGATGCTTGCTCGAGGTTCATAGTTTTTTAGAATCTCAAAAGACTCCAATCTGTCATCATTTTTCAAGTTAACATATATAATGCAATCATCAATAGGACAATAAAATGAAAGAAGTGCCTTCAAGATGCACGAGAAATTTAAGAACTCACAAATTGACCCTGCCTGCACCCTGCTCATACATGTTAGGGCCGAGAAGCTTTGCAGCTCCCTCAACCAGTGACTGTTTCACACTCGCTGGATTTAACATGTTCTTCCGCTTGCTTTCAGGAATGACACTGACAAGAAGGCATACAATTCCAGCCACCACAGGACTCGCAACACTAGTACCAGACAAGCTTTTGCAACCTGTGCTGATCTTGGATCCCATAATATCACGTCCATAAGCAACAATATCAGGTTTCATGCGGCCATAACTGCAAAGCAAACAAAAGTAGTAATAAACCGACCTTATAGCTCACTTTCCTCTTTCATTCACCCTAATCATATCCTTAATGGAGGGGTTTTTTATGCAAAATTACTGATGAAAGAAACACAAATACCACAAAGTAATTTTTTGGAGTGTTATAACTCACGTAATGTAACTCCAAATATGAAAAAACATCAATGGAAAACAGAACATGAATACACTACCCATGAGGAATCTCCCATGTACTCATGCCACGTGATGAGAATGATGCTATATGATCATTGTAATCGATTCCACCAACACCAATAACATCACTTTGATCTGCTGGATTGTTCAGTGTCCCGTAAAGTGGTCCATCATTCCCAATTGCCGAAACCATGATAATATTATTTGCTGTTATCTCCCAAACCTAACAGAGGAAGTACATTGTCTTGTCACTTGGCCATGGGTGTAAGTTTTTACTTCTAGCAGTGATAAGAAGATACTAACATTCAAGATCAGGACCACACTCTTTAAACAATTACTAATTCCTTTTAAAATTATTTTCATAATTATCTGACCTGATGAATATTAAGCATAAAAGAAAATGCATAAATTCTTTATTCATAAAAAAATACAGATATACAAAAAAATGTAGCTAATGAGAAGGCACCCATGATACAGAGCAACTTGCGCTTCACAAATGCCCTGGTGTAAAAACTTGTAAGAACTAAGAAAATCCTATTTAAATTAAAAACAATATAACCTTCTCCACAAATGGAAGATCCATATAATCAGGTCCACCTATGCTCAAATTCAACACATCCATGTTGGTTGCAATTGCATAGTTGAATGCATCAAGAAACCATGAAGTATATGATACCTGCAATAAACTGAGAAGATATTTCTCATATGGTTGCTTAAATACAAATCATAGATAAGGAAAACATTTAACTCATTTTGATTGACAATACAGGGCAGTTGGTTTCAACTTTATTATATAGAATATTTTAAGCATATCTCTATGCCCGTCAATGCCTCTATGCAACAAATAAGTCAGACCTCACGCATACAATTGCATGATTCTCACTAAGATAAGATTGCAACACACTTCAATTTTGTGATTGTTATGCCAAGATCTATGTCCAACCAAATATTGTCTAATGTTAGTGTTGACCAACGGTCCTCCAACTTATTACCTCCATAGCTCCTTCATATCGACATAGGGCCTCCATTTTTTCATTGCTATTATTTTTTTCCTCTGTTTTCTTCTTATGTTTCATGTTTATCAGCATTTGCACTGAAGTGTGTCCATTGCCAATAGAGCTAAGAGAGTCATTTTAAAGTGTTTTAGCATAGGATAAATAATGGACTAAATCAAAATAGCACTTTAAACTTTCTTTGTTTCTTACTTTCTATGAGGTTTTGGACAGTACATGTTGACCAACCCCAAGAGAATTGGAATTATACTGGGCTAGCAGTCGTAGTAATTGTTGTTGCTGTAACATTTGCACTGAAAAGGGCATCAGATATGTAAATGTATGGTGATTATGTATGTAGTTTTGATGAATGATGGAGATGAAGAAAATGGACGAAGCAAAGAATTAAGGGAACGAAAGCATGCCCGGTTATATAGTTCTACATGTCTTGTCGAAAGGTGATTTTGCTAGAAACGTTGAGATGTGTCCTTGTGTTTAGGGATGTAAGTTTTGAGCCTTTCTTATTCTCAGTAGTTAGTGGTTTTTAATTTGTGAAGATTTTAATTTTTCACTAGTGATCAATGCTCAAAATTGTGCATTGTATACTTGAGGTGGTTTGTCTAGATTGTGTATTGTGTAAGCCTCATATGCCTCCGTTTTTACTTTATTTATACCCCGAGTATAAACGAATTAATATTTCCTCCGTCCCAAAACTAGAGTCCTAGTTTGACTTCAAACAAATTAAGGCAAATTTTAAAGTGGTGATGACTTTCCAAATTTTCCCCTAATGTAACCTTGATGTGATGTGGTTGGACTAAGAGCGAGTGTATAACATGAATGGGAAATAAATGGGGGTGGGTATAAAAAGTGATTGAAAGAGGGAGGGTGGGTGGGTTGAAATAATAAGAGTCTAAAAGTGATTGAAAATGTAGAAAAGTGATTGAAAGGGTAGGAACATTATAGTATTTTAGTGAGTTGGATATGCCAAAAAAGGAAAAAGTGGGATTTTGTTTGACATAGTGGCTCCAACTTTATTATCTGATATGCAATATTGTGTAAGCCTCACTTAAGCCTCGATGCATTAGCAATGATGCATACACATCAGCCGCATCGTAACCATTTTCTGTTTTGAGCATACCCTCAAGGCTCGTTTGTTGTAAAAAGCGTTGAGGGATTTCAAGAGGGATAAATGAAATGTGTAATTTTGAACATCATTGTGGTGGATTAAATTGTACTAAAGTCCTTATTGAGTCTGATTTGCTGAGAGTATGCTGGTGATGTGTATGTTGAATGAGTACTGAAATAAATTTACTATTCAAGCAAGAGAAAGAAATAACTGAGTATCTGGTTTTTTAAAAAAGATTGCACTAAAATAGTAATTTAGTATTTAGTATAGTAGGAAAAGGAACATAAGGTAGGCGATATGGGTAGAGAAACTGTCAGAAAAAAGAAAGAGAATGATGAGACACAAACAACACAAACATCAACATGAATGAATATGTTAGAAGTACACTTATGGACAAAACATCTGTGGAAGTTAGATGCACACATTTGTGCATATGTGTGTTTAATCTAATGCAAAGCATCCATTACCTGTGCATCAGTGAATACTCTAAAAGCATAGATCTCTGTGTCTGGGGCAAAACCAAGACACTCTGAATCTTGTCCAGCAATAACCCCTGCTACAAATGTCCCATGTCCTAGATTGTCATTAAGTGTATCTTCATTGGTCCAATTTGTACGCTCCTGTGTAATCAATCCAGTGACTAAACCCACAAGAATATTCTAGGAGAAGTTAAACATGTCCAAAAGTTTGAACATAAACTACATTAAGTTTAAGTGAAGCATAGCTGCAATATCATTTCTCCTGAAAATATAAGCTACCTTGATATTACGAAAATGAGGATGATCTGATCGAATGCCTGTGTCAAAAATAGCCATTTTAACTTTAGCGCCGGTGTATCCTTTTGACCAAAGTGCTTCTGCACTAAACAGGGAGGTAACTTGAGACTTCTGAAAAAGGAACAATGTTTATTTAGGTAAATCACAGCTTTCAAGGTAACAAAACTTAAGTAAGAATACATCACCAACTTGCCTGCATCAATAGCTCCCTCTTCCAGCTGATTTCCATATTGCTTGTGTTAGATATTACATTTCTCTTTCCTTCATTTTGCTCTCCTTCGGTGAAAGACATCGAAGTGAAAATTTTTCCTGGTCTCTTCTTTCCGTCAAAAAAACCCCCAATTCTGTCATTCTTTTTTGCAAGAACTCCTCTTTGATAACTCAAATCTAATGAAACGTCTTTCACAAACTTTAATTTTGTGAACTCATCAATCAAAAGTTCTATCATTGATTCCTCAATTGCCACCACTGCAAAATCTGTTGGAAACCGAGACGCAGGGTTCTTCCTTTCTATCCATTCCCAACCATTCAATTTCACGTTACCTTGCAGATATGTCCGATGATATTCAGATTTCAAGTATTTAGTGAATCGAACAATATAATTATTCCGTGATGAAGATTCCCGCTTTTGAACCTCGTGGTGGTTGTGGCCTACATCCTTGGGTTTTAATGTAGAACGAGACAAGGGTTGATCCCGAGCGCTTTCAGGGTAGTGAACAAATAGAAGGGGATGGAAGAGACGGAGCACAAATGAGAAGATGAGGAGTACAAGGGGTAGTGTGAAGAAGGGTAATCCATGAGTACATCGCATGGTGAAAAGAGGCAAATCCCTCTCATCAATGGAGAGATGATGATACTTGTAAATAATCAGAAACTTACTTTCACATTCTAATTTTTCATCGCATCCAGACAATCTGTGTCAGCCAACGTTGTCAAATATAACAATCTGCACAGTTAGTAAGCACTTACTACTGCACCAATGCAGTGGAAACTCCACACCATTTGATGAGCCTATCCTGCTGCAAGATGCATATCCTACCTTCTCCAAGGCTGTAAAAAACATGTGTGGAATTATTTGAGAATGGGTTGACATAGGGAGTTTTTTTATTTGTGGGGTTATAGGAGAAAACTATAGCTTTCTTTGAAATAAAAGCATATCCGAACTTGGCCCCATTGAGTTTTCAAATGGCAGAAAACAAATTGAAGAGTAATTCAGAACAGGAACATTGGTTTACCAAAAACATACTCCTTATTTTTTCCCATAATTATGAATCCTCTTAAATGGGAAGATTCTCGTTTCCCTTTTTGTCATTCTATATCTTTTGAGAATGATGAAAGATCTCACCCATAAAGTAAACAAAATTAATGAAGAAAGCCTAAATGCTTCTAAAACACCACTCAGAGTATTCATTACAAATCATTAAGCATATACTAAAGGGAGAAATACCTAATTAGCACTAAAACATACTCCATATACCAAAATATGATCTTCATTGTTTCTATACCAAAATAGGACTTATAATGCCAAATTGTGGGTGTTTTACAATGTCAACACTCCTATTTAAATGATAAAACATATGATGTCTTATTTTGGTAAAAGTTCCATGTTTTACCCTTATTTAGTTTAGGTAGATCTCCATGAACATAAGGCATAAATACACACAACCACAACACACATTCAACGCTAACTCCTCTAGTTACCTATTAAAATTATTGCACCGGATCTTACACTCCCAAAAGTTGCTAAGAAAATTCATGATATTCATCACGAGCCTGTTGATAAGCCCACCAAAACACATCATAGGTGCCAGATTTAGCGCAAGTGTCACTACCCAAATAACACGCAATTGCAATCTTCTAAACCAAGAAATGCGAGTATTACTACAGACTTGACACACAACTGGAATCTTGTAACCAAGAAGATAAACAAAATCAACAAAACAAATGGTGAATCTTTACGAAATACCGGAAGAAATAGCTTACCAGTAATGATTATTGAACAATGTCTAAATTGATAATCGGCACTCCGTCATGAGACGAAGCAGATCCGTCTCCAGTCACGATAAATCCTCCAGCCAACTGGCTCCGATTTCAACGAAAAAGAATTGCACGGGCTCAAAAAGTCAAAATCGAGATGATCAAAAGCCAAAAACTGTTTCAAACTCCGTAGTAAATAAAGGGATACCTGAGAGAAACGAGGGACTTTGAAACTTTTGTGAAAAAAAAAGGATAATTTACGGACTAAAACATAATAAATTTCTGAGATCATACGTTTTTATTTTTCAATGTAGGATCATTGATCATTATTTATTAGTCATTATTCAACTAAATGTTCAGAAATCACTTGGACATTATTCTTCTCATTAGTCATTATTATGTCCTAAATAGAAAATAAAAAAGTTTAAGTCCTATATTGGAAAATAACTTATGTTTTAGTTTTATTCAGTGCAAATTTGACTTGTGAAAACGCTATCCAAGATTAGAGCAAGTCTATTTAAAATTAGAAAAATGCTAGGTGTACCCCATTTGTTCTCACCCCTCCTCCACCACATAAATAGGCAAATACTTTTAAAAAAATTAAATAAATAAAAATTAAATATGAATGGATGGTGGAGAAGGAGGTGAGGGACAAATGGGGTACACCAAAAGGTGTACCCCTAGCATTGCTCTTAAAATTAATTTACTACATTTTAAAAAGTTTATTTAAAATGTTTTTAATTAGATCTAATTAAACCACTAAAATATAAATAAAGCATGGCAAAAAACTAAAATAAGACCTTAGCTTCATTGTTTATCTCAAAATAGAATATATATATACACACACTAGCATTGGGATGCGCATTGGTTGCCCGGTGGGTATCCTGTTGCTGTTACTAATATATTATTTTATATTAAATATAATTAAGCATAGTGTTTACATGATGGAGTCAAAAGATAGATGAGTACATGTCATTAGACAGAGGCATACTATTTACATGATGGAGTCAAAAGATAAGTTGCATCGTAAAGCTTACATTGTTGCCTATTGGCATTTGCATTACTGTGTTTTCTCTCATGAGTTGAGAAAAGAAGATTGGGAAAATGTTTGAGAGGGCGAGCATGCATTATTTTTTGCCTTCACACCACTTCTATTCGAAGTTTGAAAAACGGTGTGAGTATTAGGTAGGTGTTTGTACAGGAGCAGGCTGCAAGTGCTTCTTAAGGCTTCAGTTCAGTCAATCTTTTGTTTTTTTCTCATCTTGACTGCCCACGCCTTCGGATTTTTCTGTGAGATCAGCACAAGTTGGTTGTTGAGATCGGTGCAGTTGATGTCTTTGCGGCAAGTTTACTGGCATACAGGCATCGATAAAGTTCTCACACTGCTGAACAAGAGCCATGGCATCTAGATAACGCTTACCAACTTGCACAACCAAAAGTTTGCAACATTCAAGGTGAATTACTTTAGTGCAAAAAATCTCAAAAAAGAAATCTACTCTATTAACAATTTTGTGTTTTGAAACAAAGAATTTGTAATTATAATAGAATTCTACATCAATTCATCAATTATACCAAACAAAATATTTGGAATTAAATTATAATTTAATTTTATCAAATTCAGTTCTATAAAATTTGTCTTAAACTCTGTTTGGTACACAAGAAGTGAAAACTCCCATTAAACTCAAAAAATCCAAAAGGTAAAAATAGCAACGAATTTCTAATAAAAAAGTAAAATAACCAATGAAATTCAAAAAAAAAAACAAATAACCACTGAAATTCAAATGGAAAAGTAAAATCACCATTTAAATTCAAATCAAGAAAATAAAAACACAGATTACACTCAAATAAAGAAAGTAAAATTACCAATTAAATTCAAATTAAAAAAAAGTTAGAAAGAGATCAAAATAGCCATGGATCAGATAATTGTAGTCTGGAAAGTTTTTTTAATTGACATGTATCAATTCTGAATCAATACTCATCCCTTCGATGTATCAAAACCAAATAGAAACCCAAAATAGGAACTCACCTAAAAAATAACTAAGAACAGAAGCACTCCCAAATGAACATTCAAAGAAAATTTAAAACATCCTGATCTTTAAAATCAAGAGTGTGGTTAAAATTAAACTTGAAACATGCAATAAGAGAACGGATGAACAAACTGACCATACGGGAAATTTCGATACAATTCAATTTTAAAAGAAGAAGAACAAGAATTGATCTAATTTTTTTTCACTGTAACCCAATTCGAAATGAGCATGCAACAGAGAAGTAATAAATTTTCAGTCATAAATTTTCTATTTTTTCTTCAGATTCGCACAGAGAAGTAAAAAGAAAAAGAAAAAAATGGCAAAAAGAAAGAGAGATGGAATGGCAAAAAAACCCGGAGAAAGCAGAAGTGGTAGTGGGAAAATCTATGCCCCATCATCTTCATATAGAGGAGTAGTGCGGTGTGCAGTAGAGGGAAGAGAGTGAGTGGATCACACAGTAAATAAACGGCGTTATAAACAAACGGAAAACAACCCATTATAAACGCAATAGGAAATTATAAAATTAGGGAGATATATGTGTGTGTGTGTGTGTGTGTGTGTGTGTGTGTGTGTGTGTGTATATAAATAAATTAGTAGGTATGAAATTTAAATACTCACTCCGTGGTAGTGTATTTGTCCAGTTTGAGTCAACAAGATAAAATTTATGCTTCAATTACTCTCATATAATAATGTATTTTATTGTAAAAAAATAATTTAATTAGATTTATCTTATTAGGAATTTTCAAGATTGTACTTCATTATAGTAACATGTAATACAAATTGAGAGTAATTAAAACTTAAAATTCATCTAGTTAGACTCAAAAAAGTCAAAGTCGACAGATACACTGGGACAAATATAGTATATACTACCCCGTATCACATTATATACAAAACTATAGCCATATTGTGGGATTAAATATGTCATTCCTAAATTAAAAATAAGGGCTATGTTATAGGGTTAAAAAGCAAAATAGGAGTAAAACATTGATAAAATCCCAATTGGTGAGTGTTGCTGATTTGAAACTGCGACCAGTGCTGAATGCTGGCGCTCATTGGTGACGGAAGCCTTAGTAGCTGGTGCATAGGAGGAACTCACCGCCATTCAAAAGCAGATCCCGACCTGAAGTCGTGCTGCCTCTGCTCTTCTTCTCCCTGGAGTCGCAACCGCCATCACCTATAATAGTACTCACCGTGCAAGAAGCCAGCGACCGTCGCCAAGCAGTCAGCGCTCAAGAGGGGTGTCGCCGCGACTTTCACCACCACCCCTCCTCCCACTGTCGCCGCCGTCGCCACTAATGCACCTACATTGCAATAATGGAGTGCACATTCCAAATGAGCCCCACAAATTTCACCTCACATTCCAAACATAAATATTTCAGGTTTGCAATACAATCCATACTAAAAAGGAGTTTGGAAGATATCTTGTTCAGAACATCAAGAAATGAAAATCTCTCACATAAAAGTAATACTCATATTTTTAGATTTCAAAAAAGTCACTCTTTAATTCTCTTAACCAACATTAACATCTCTAGACTCTAGATCATAAATTAAAAGAAAATCTCCCACCGTCACCACCATTGTGCCACATTAACTGTCCATATAGTGTAAAGTAAGGACATAATGCCAAACATGACTATATATACTGCCACACATGAAATTACATGTGCATGTGAATGCATAATATCAAACAAAGACATAATACCAAACATGTCAATGCCTAATGCAATAAATGACAATGTATAATAACAAACATCTCAACCTATAATGAGAAACATGTCAACATATAATGTAACAAATGACAATACATAATGTTAAAAAGGAGAAATGCCAAGAAACTCTATAATTTTCCAATGTCATAATCATTCAAATATAAAAAAAGTAAATATAAATATTTAGAAGTGGGGAGCCTATGAGGGGTTGAAGGGTCAACGCTGGAAGTTTTGAGGTTAGGGGGAGTATGATTCTCCGGAGACAGTAGATGTCATTGCGCATTTCTTTCGCCTTTTCCACTTGGTGTCAGTTCCGTTTGTTCAACCTAGTTTCATTTGCACCAAGCCGTTGCAACCACGATCTGTGTGTTCCTGGGATCTCGACCTCCGCAATGTCCTATCGTCCCAACAACCAAGGTGGCCGTCGCGGCGGAGGTGGCCGCGGCCGCGGTGGAGGGAGAGGTGCCGGAGGCTCTCGCGGTGGGGGGCGAAGTGGGGAGCAGCGCTGGTGGGATCCTGTCTGGAGAGCCGAGCGCCTTCGTCAGAAAGCCGCGGAGGTACGTATGTACCACATTCCTGCTTGTAAGTAGGGTTTACATGAATTCATGTGAGACGGTGCAACTGGTAGTTATCCATAGAGAACTGCATTTTTTCGGAAGACTTTATGGACTTATGAATGCTTCATCCTCTGCAAAGCTTGGTTACTGATAGAGGCTGAGAAGATCAAGGAAAAGATACCCGAATAAATAGTGACTCTATTGATTGATTCTGGAAATTACATAATTCAATTCCACCCTTACAGTATAATTCTTCATTATCTTCCTTATTTCCGAGACTACAAATATGGACTTCAAAGTTAGAGGGAATGAGAGTAATGGAATTTGAGACACCTTATGATGAGTTTGGTTTGGGGTGAACCTAGGTTGTTCCTGGGTTCGCCTGGTTTGGGATTCAATTTTATGACAGCAACATTGTTTCGTCTACTAATGGGTTCACTTCAGGTAACGTGATAACCTCCCATAAGGCCATAACACAATTTTGAAGAACTTTCCAAACAAAAAGGTTTATTTGTATATAATAATTTGCCTTTTGGCTTCTACCCTCCCTTACCTATCCTTTACCCACATTGACTGGTTCTTCGGCCTTGGAGAAACCCTCTCCGCCATGCTTTAAAAAGGCATTTCCGAGGCTCGTTGTGGGGTGCTCCAAATGGGCATTAAGGCTTAAGACTTGTTTGCATAGGAAGAGACTTACACCTTGATACAAAGCTCATGGCTTTTAGTGAGGTGTTTTGGTCAACGTGAGACTACAAGTAATAAAGCCCATATACTAAAACTTAACCCCTAATATACAAGAAACAACATAACAGTCTACTGTTCTCTCTATTAAGCCACTCCTAGCTTCCAAGACTTGGCGATCAACAACAATCAATCAATTCTTCTCTCTATTTTCAATTCTCTGATGCTCCCTGCACCCTCCCTTCTTGTTCCTCTTCTCCCCACCTCTTCTCCTTGTTTCCTTCTTCTCCTCCTCTTGGTTTCTTTTTTTCCCGTTTTTTCAATTGTTCTCCTCTTACTCTTCTTTGTTCTTCTTTGCTGCATTTTGAATTTGAGATGAGATTTTAAGTGTTTTTTTATGTCGATATATTGCTATTTACACGATGAGAAGTTCAATGAAGAATGGTCTAGATGCTATTCCTAGTAGTAGTGAACTAGTGAACCGTCTATGTATTTCTAGGGAAGTTACTAGAAAGAGAAAATTCCTAGATTGATAACATGGTGTTTAACTACAAATTGTAAGAGAAAGGAGCACCTACTTCCTGATAACAAACCACCTCAACACACAACTTGGCCTTTTTTTGACCTTGCTCTTCGCCCGTCAATTTATGACCCCACCACTTATTCTATATTTGGATTGATGTTTACCTAGGTTAAGATAAACTTAGAAAAACCATGGTTATGAGAAAGTTAGTTAACCTTAGTAGTTAGTATATAAAGATATTGTTTGAATAGTATTAGCTCTACATTTGTGAATTTTCTTTAACATTGTCTTTTGGTTTAGATGAATTAAAATAAAAAAAATAATATTATAGGGTATTCACCTCATTTTTCCTCGATTTTGGAGGTAGCAAAAACAGAGTGAATCATGTTGACTGATTCAACCCACATAACCTAGGTTGATAATCATAAATGAGTCCACCCAGTGACTAAAATTATTTGCCTACATTCACCTGGGTTCACCTCAAACCAAACAATATTTTTGTATCTTCACCTAGGTTCATCCATATTTTTTCGGAACCTAGGTTCACGAGGTTTACTTAAGTTCACCAAGGACCAAAAGGAGCCTTGAGAGTTGGGTAGCTCTAGACTTTTGGCAAAGTTATCTTTCTGGTGAATAACTTCGGATGAATTAGGCTTTTTTTGTTCTTCTTCATGTATGTTTCTTCATTTTATCTCAATTTAATAAATCATTGGTTTGTTCCTTGATTGTATATATATCCCATTGACCACTTTTTCTCAATCATTTACATTTGCGCTTTTCTTTCTCTGTCATTATCACTTCTTTGATCTACTCAGATGGAGGTAATGAACGAGAATGAGTGGCGGGAAAGAATTGAGCAATTCAAGGGAGGAGGAGAGCAGGAGATGGTAATTAAGAGACACTTTAGTAGGGAAGACCAGGATAGGTTGCATGATATGTCATATCATTTTGGGCTTCACTTGTAAGTGGATTTTAAAAGCATACAATTGCAATTTTTGCAATCAATGTTTTCTAAGTTTTTGGTTTGTGATGTAATTAATTTAGCATAAGGGCACGAGCATATGAAATTCTTTTTTTAAATATCATGATCCTCCTTAACACATTTTGTTTCATTATTTATCTCTTGTGCATTATAGATGTTAGATTATTGTAGTCTCATCACTGACTAGTAACACATCTTTACTGTCGATTTGTACTCATTAGTTTGAGGTATTGTGAATCAAGGTTTTGAAAGGCGAAAACGAGCCTCGAGGTGGTGGAGAAAAATGCCTTGAGGCGTAAGCCTCGAGGCGGAACGAGGCGTAAGCCTCAGTTCAGTTTGAAAAAAACAAAGCTAAAATGAATACTCCATGGTAATTACAGAATACATAATCCATAATCATGATGCTGAAATCTAAAGGCTTCAATTCTTGATTTTTGCATAAAGTAATACCCTCTCATAGTTTTTAAAATACAAAAAAGAAGAGAGAATTACTCTAACAAATTTAAACAATAACATAAAACACAAAGTCACAAATGCCTCAAATCCGTCTTCAAACATGATAAAATAGATAAAGTTTCATGATTTTTTTATCTACTTCATAACCAAAATTAGACAAGTTTATTTCCACTACATAATACAATGAAATTTGTAGTTAAGTGACCTTCATACAAATTAAACAAAAACCATAGATGAATAGGGAGAGTAATGCTGGGAAAAGAAACAGAAATTTAAAGTTGGAAAACAAATTTGAAAAAATTAGAAGGTGAACTAATTAGAATATGAAGTAATTTTTGTCCATAAAAAAGAATATGAAGCAATTATGTTATGAAAATGGAGAGACCGAAGGAACAAAAGGTGCGTTGTGGATAGGGGGTGCTGAAGTTGAAGAAGATGGAGAGGCTGAAGTGCTGCGCGGGAACTGCGCTAGGTTGAGAATGGAGAGGCAGAAGTACAAGCAAAAGAAATCCTAATTTATCAAGTGTAAGAAGTTTTTAACAAAAACCTAATGCCCAAGATTTTTTTAAAGGCCCAATTCCTTTGTATGGAGTATCATTTAACCCATAGGTGCTGAATTTTTAATTTGAATAGAGGCTACCGCCTCAGTTTCGCCTCACCGCCTCAACCGCCTCGTACCGCCTTGGCCAGGCAAGGCGTACGCCTCACATACCCTTACCAAGGCATACGCCTCTGAGGCTTAAAAGGCCCGCCTCACCGCCTTACCGCCTCGAGGCGGTCCGCCTCGAACGCCTTTTAAAACCATGTTGTGAATGTCATGCTAATTATTCCTTTTCTTTTTTATTTGTGGGAAGAAAGCCATGCGTATAACAAGGGAAAGGTGCTTGTTGTGAGCAAAGTTCCATTACCAAATTACCGGGCTGACCTCGACGATCGTCACGGATCATCACAGGAGGTGGTTTGACACATTCATCATTTCCTTTAGGCTCTGCAATTTTATCCTTGTATGTTGGGGATGGGTTTGTCTGTTAACATTTGTTGTCAATATCATTCATTTGTGTTACACTTCATTCATGCTTCTTGCAGATAAAAATGTCTACGGAGATTGAAAAAAGAGTTGGAAATTTATTGAACCATTCACAAGCATCTGTGTCTAAAGGGAATTCCCATGCTAAAGACTCAAATACTACCAATTTATCATTTAGTGATGTAGATACTGCAACAGCCATCCCTATGCTGGAGACTGATGCTTGCAAGGAGAATCTCAATGTTGAACTTAAGAAGAAGCAGGAAAAGCAAAGGGTAAAGTGCTCCGGCTTATCATGGGCCATTAATATTTCTGTTTCGACCATACCAGCTGACAATGCATCATTTATATTTCTTCCAGGAAACTGAAAATGTTAAGGCAATGATGCTATTTCGAGAAAAACTCCCAGCATTTAAAGTAAAATCTGATTTTTTGAAAGCCGTTGCCGAAAACCAGGTAAAACATTTGAGCAAACCTTTTTTATATATAGCCTGGTAGGCGGTTTTTCACAGGTTGTCCAGGAACGAATGCCACATATCAAACAAAAGGGGATGAAAATAAAATAAGAATAGGAGCTGGTGCAGGGATGAGAAATGATTATAACCGTAAGTGAAGGTTGTTGGATTCTTGGAGGATGGTGGTTGTTACCTTAGTGGAATGAGTTTAATTTGACAAACACTCAAGTGCGCGAAAGGAAATGCAAGGATGAAGATGAAAACAATTTCGAAACTAACAGAAGTGGGAATGAAACAAAATGACTTAAATCAATTGCAATGCACGTTAGAGGTGAGAATGGTGCAAGATGAGGGACATTAATTTAATCTAATTACTTTTTAGCTACTAATATGAGTGGAATATAGCTATTTAATACTCCCTCCGTCCAGGAATGATAGTCCCACTTTGACTTTTCCTCATTTTTAAGAGGCATTGACTAAAGGAGTGAATAGACTAAAATGCCCTAGCACATATCCACCCATCCCTACCCACCATTCACGACCTCCGTTGGAACTCACCGGCCCAACCCCACCGCCTCTCCAGCTGCCGCCGCCAATCCCACCGCCACGGCGCCACCCCATCCCCCACAACTACCGTAGATCTTTAACCGACCACCACCGGTAGTCACACCATCATCGGCACAGCCCCACGACAGTCCTGCCATCGACGCCGGCCCCACCATTACCACCACCGTGGTACAGATCTAAAAGAAAAAATAAGGAGAAAGAAAAGAAGAAAGAGAGGAAGAAGTGTAGACTCACCATCGCTATCGCCGGCCGCCATCATCGCCGCCTTGTGTATACCTAGATCTAGAAGAAAGATAGAAGAGAAAGAAGAAGGGGAAGATAAGAAGAATAAAAAGTAAGGGGGAGAAAGAGGAGAAGAGTAGGAAGAGATTGAAGAAAGAAAACCAGAGATGGGAGAGAAAGACACGAGGAGGAGGAGGAGGAGGAGAAGAAGAAGAAGAAGATTGAAGAGAGGAAGAAGGAACGACGGAGATGGAGGAGACGAGGAAAATAGGTGGAGGAGAAAAAAGATGGAAAGGGAAAAGAAAAAAGGAAAAGAAGGAAGAGGAGGGTAATTTTGGAAGAGGAGTGAAAAAATAGTAGAATGGGAACATCATTTCCGGACGGAAAAAAGAGTAGAACGGGAACATCATTCCCGGACGGAGGGAGTATTTGTTTTGATTAAGAAAATGAAAGTGTGATTAGTCCTTCGTGCTAGTCTGGTTACGACTTGCGTACATCTAGGACATGATGATTAAGATTTAAGACTTTGTTCTTTTGGGTTGAAAAATAGAGTTGGATGATAGAAGAAATTGGAACAAGTTGGAAAATTCGAGAAGTGGAAGAAACTACAAGATATTAGAAGAAGCTGCAAGGAGTTAGGAAAAACTAGAAAGAGTTAGAAATAACTAGGAGTTGGAATATGTTGGAAGGAGTTGGAACAAACTGGAAGGAGTTGGAATAAAGTGGAAGTTGGAATAAACGAGTTGGAAAAATTAAAATGAGTTGAAATAAATATTGTATTTTTTAAATTTCGTATTTTTTTGAAATTAAGTTGTACTCTATTTCTTGTCTTGTTTATTTTTTGTATGTCCCACCAGTTTTGCATCAAATCATATTTAGTAGTTATATTTATGTGACTCACACTCATTCTTACGTTTTCTTTTTAATAACTATATCAGTTATACAATTTTTTGTTTCTTAATTTGTATTTCACTACCACATGCCCCAAATAGTGGGACAATTAGAGCAATATTTTTTATTAATGTTAATTAAAACAAAAAAAATTGACATAAATGATCTAGCATTTGATCAACAACAACCAAGCGTTATCCCACTAGGTGGGGTCATTTACATGGATCAAGGGACGCTGTTGTGCCATATCATGTATATTTGCAAAGAGATCATTTACGTGTATGTCACTCTTGATCACTTTGTGCCAAGTCTTAAGTCTCTACTTATCCTTCCATTTGATTACGTGTATGTTACTTTTGACCACTTCGTGCCAAGTCTTCTTAGGTCTACCTATCCTTCCATTTGATCCGCCCTTCTCACTGGTCGGCGTTGATTGCAACTGACGAGTGACGAAAATGGCGGCAGTCAGAAACGATGACACGGGTGGGTGGTGGTCAGACAGTCAGGTCAGTTTTTAGTGACAGTGGTTGGTGGTGGTGGATGCCAATAAAAGCGGTGGTCACCTATGGTGGCGGTAGAGCTAGAAGCTATCATCGACGATGGTTGTGATAGGGAGCAGTGTTTGTCTGCCAGGTATGGTGACACTAAAAGTAATTCTAGCCTTTGGTGGTCATATGGGATCGGGGTGGGGTCACCTACGATGACAGCGGTTAGTGACTAATTATAGGGGGAATGGGCATCATCTGGGGAGTATGTAGGTTGCTGTACTTGTCATTGGTGCCTTATTTATTTATTTATTTATTTTTGGAACACAAGAAATAGATGGGGTAATGAAGTCTGGGGGAACCAACCCTTTCACCCCAGCTCTGTAGTGAATGAGAAGCTCGCGCTACATCGCTAGCAAATACGCTGTCTCATTAGCAGAGCGATAAACAAAGTGAAAGCTAACAACTCCGTCACACAAGGCTAAGGGTGTTTTACAATCATCAAGGTTGAAGAGAAATAAGAGCAATCACTAACATCAAGGTTTAGTGCATCCACCACATCCTTGCAATCTGTCTAAATGATGATTTGCATTCATTAGTTTTTATCCAGCTAAGAGCCTCCTTGGCCGCCAAGACAGATGTTTTTTGCGGCAATGAAAGTTCCCACATCATCTCGTCTCGAGCAAGAAAGCTGAAGCCCGCAACTCCATCCATTAAGCCAGTTGAGGCATCCACATTAACCTTCAAAAACCACATGGGTGGTTTTTTCCAACTACGACCGTCGCTATTCCAAGATTCCTCCTTTGTGATAGGGCTTGCCGTCACCCACCATTCTTCAAAACTCACCCTTGCTTTTTGTCCACGTTCCTAATGGGGTAGGATTCTCGCCTCTCCACACCTTTGCATTTCGAGCCCCCCAAATCAGCCATAGGATATGGATGCCATAGCCTGATCCTTCATGTTAAATAGACTGAAAATATGCTCAAGCCAAGAGTTGAAACTTGAAACTGTTGGAGTAAACCAGCCAAAAAGGATGCCACCCACACTTGCCTTGCAAAGCTACAGGTGACAAAAAGATGAAGCACTTATTCTTTTGAAGCCTGACACAATGGACCCACATTCTGAACAGTTGTCCTTTTTGCAACTGAATTACTAAGGACTGGAACAATATTGTTTAAAGCTCTCCTAACCAAGTTTCGAACTACATGCAAAATACAGACTTTCCACAATTTCCGCCACAAACTTGTTGATGCATCATTACCTGCCAGATTGGGCTCCCAAACAAGACACTTGTATGCGCTTTTGACAGTGTAGACACCTGATTTATCATAGGCCCAAAACACAACATCTCCACTCTCTTACTGCGTAAGTGGGATAACTTCAATCAACCTTCCGTTTTGAATTTCGAAAAGGGTGTCAATTTTTCGCCAATCCCAAACTCCTTTGTGAATGAGGTCAGTGACTCTTTGAACATCGTGATGTCCCGGGTTCTGCGTTGACACCCAAGGGTGCTCATTATCACCAAGCCATGGGTCCCCTCCCAAATACGAATACTCTGACCATGACACTCCTTCCAGTGAGTTCCTCTACGGATGACTTTTTGGGCTTGAAAGATGCTCTGCCAAATACGAATGACTGTTTTCTTATTATAAAAAACATAAAAACGATGTTTTCTAGTTTTCCAAAAAAACTGAAAAAGTGGAGGACAATTTTTTGTTTTCTGATTTTTTTGAAAACTTCTCTGAATTTAGAAAACTAAAAAGTTAAACACAGAATATTTTTTTTCATTTTCTGAATTTGGAAAACAAAAAAGTAAACATGTTTTTTGGTTACTGTTTACCAAAAGTTTTTCCCGTTAGTAAACCGCTTCTATGTTGTTTTATATACTTCATATTGTTTAATACAGAATAATTATTCTAGAGGTTATGATGCATGACTTTGACTTGCTGGCTCTGAAAACTACTGTGTTCAATACTTCAATCAATCAGTTCAATGTTAGCTTCTAACCTCTATTGGTGTACAGGTCCTAGTAGTATCAGGAGAGACTGGTTGTGGGAAGACAACGCAGCTTCCTCAATTCATTTTGGAGGAGGCGATATCATCTTCATGTGGCACTAATTGCAATATCATTTGTACTCAGCCTCGTCGCATATCTGCCATATCTGTTGCATCTCGGATCTCCTCTGAAAGGGGCGAAGATCTAGGAGACACTGTTGGTTACCAGATCCGTCTGGAGTCAAAGCGGTCAGCTGAAACTAGGTTACTCTTCTGTACTACAGGGGTGCTGCTGCGGCGACTGGTACTATATTTGTATTGGATTGACAATGCTACTACTATTCATTATAAAGAGTTGATTTTGGTATATGGATCTTAGAAATAATGCTGAATCTACTCTTCATTGTAAAGAGCTTTGAGTTTAGGCTTTCTATGTCCCCCTTTTATCTCATCGTTTTTAACTACAGGAGAAAACATTACATGGGGATAAGAGTTAAATGGGCCTCCTTACTTGTATTGCAAGGCAATCAGGCATCTAAGGATGTGTAGTTAGACTATTAAACAAATGATACACGCCCAATTGTTGTTATTATTAAAAGTTTTAATAATAATGATATTATTATTTATGTCAATGAGCCAGCATAATGTCATTCAGAATTAGCATATTTTCTATTATTCTATAGTTGTTCAATTGCACATTATTTAGTTTGGCAGTTTGCTTCTGATTGCACTCTCGATACTCGTATAGGGGTCTCTTTTCCCTTATCCCAATTACAATTATACTCCTTGTGTTTTGGTGCACTTGCAATATTCAGAATCTTATAGAAGTGAACTAGCCAATACCTTGAGTCCTGTGGGCTCATCATCATCTTTGCTACCACTTGAGCTTGTTCTCTTTGTCTGATCTGATATTATTAAGATCTGATCTGATTGTAGTTATATTTAAAGTTGTTTTCCTGTTTCTGATCTGATATGATTCCAATAAGAATAAGTAATAAGTAATAAGAATAAGTTGAAGAGAACAAACTCTTATTCCCAACTAGTACATGGAAACAAAAATGAGGAATATACACTAGCAACATCTGTGTCTATTTTTTTTAAACCAATCCATCAAAAAATTCTTCCAGTGATGTTTCCTTATATGCTGATAATAGGTCCAAGATTCATTTTTAACTGGAATTACCCATTTGTTGGTGGATGAAATTCATGAGCGAGGCTTGGATGAAGATTTTCTCCTAATCATTTTACGTGACCTTCTTCCTCGGCGTCCTGATTTGCGTGTCATTCTTATGAGTGCAACCATTAATGCTGAACTGTTCTCTAAGTACTTTGGAAATGCACCCACGATTCATATACAGGTTTTTTATGATTTTAGTTTCACATGATTGAAACTATTGGTTCTACTGGAGTCCATTATATTTTATCATGGATGATATGTTTTTATTTTTATTTGCAGGGACTAACTTATCCCGTGGCAGAGTTATTTCTAGAAGATGTATTAGAGAAAACTTCGTACAATATAAAGTCTGATTTTGACAACGTTCAGGGAAGCTCGAGGAGAAGACGCCATCAACAAGAATCTAAGAAGGATCCTTTGTCTGAATTATTTGAGGCATGCTGAGTACTTCTCATATAAGCCTGAAATTTTGTTAAAAAGCATCATTCTTTAGCACTGATTGAATGATAACAGTGTAACACTTTTGCTGGACGTAAGGATCCCTGGTCATTGAATTCTAAAACAGATGGTGAATTTTTCACATGCTGTGCTACCACTGAATTGTCATATGCTTTAACAAAGAAAGATTTGCTTAATCATTGATATTCACTGGGCTGCTTGTTTCAATTTTTCGATGCATTTTATCTTGTATTCTCATAGCACACCTAATCAAATACAAAAGGTTTTGTTTACATGTCATATTCCTGCTATAACCAAGGATCTTATTCCATAGCCTTCTGATGTGCAGGATGTGGACATTGATTCTCATTACAAGGGCTACAGTATAGCCACAAGGCAATCTCTTCATGCTTGGTCGGGGTCACAGCTTGATTTGGGCCTTGTATGTACATGTTTTGTAGACTTTACTTTCTAAATTTATAGTTTGGTAGTGTTGTTGTCCATTAAAATTTCAGGCCATGTGTCACATTTTCGGGAGTAACACCAATTTGTTCACCCTTTTGACAATTAATTGATGCCCTTAACATAACTGCTTTAGATTCTAATTCAATTTTGCATGACTTTCAAGTACCAAGAGTTGTGTGTCAAGGTTTTTCTGCTGTAGTGTGAAGCCATTACAACTGCATGCCCTTATGTTCTGTCTTGTTTATGTTAACTTGGCTTTGATGTTGCCAGTGTTTGGAATTTTCTCGAGTAGGTAGAATCAACAATACAGTATATCTGTCGTCATGAAGGTGATGGTGCAATTCTTGTATTCCTTACGGGTTGGGATGATATTTCTAAGCTGCTTGATAAAATTAAAGTAAATAGTTTCCTTGGAAATCCAAGGAAATTTTTGGTTCTCCCTCTACATGGATCAATGCCTACAGTAAACCAGCGAGAAATATTTGACCGCCCACCTCCTAATGTTAGGTATGCATACATATTTTCCTCATATTTTATTTTTTAATTTTTTTGTGGAGAACCTAATTTAAAGTGTATTCTGCCTAACTTCATTTTCTGCCATGCTTCTGCTATTTTTTTAATAAAAATAAATTTCATCCACCCCACTTTTACAGTTACACCAGTGATCTTATCCCACATTATGTCTTGCTTCATAAATATGTATTCAATAGCACTAGTGAGCTTATACTGATGTAATGAAAACAATCATTTGTGTGTGGGATTGTGCCGGGGTATCCAAACACATGCCAATTTTTTAGGTTCTTGGTCTGGTGGTCATTCTGACTCTTTCTTCTTTCGCAGGAAAATTGTTCTTGCAACAAACATTGCAGAAAGCAGTATAACTATTGATGATGTCGTGTATGTCATCGACTGTGGAAAGGCTAAAGAGACAAGCTATGATGCACTTAACAAACTGGCTTGTTTATTACCATCATGGATCTCAAAGGCATCAGCACATCAGGTATTCTACTTCTACTATGATGAAGTTCTTGCGCTTGATTGCGATATTCACGTTTCAACACGTTTTTGGTCAGTGGTTGATATATACAAATTACTTAGAAAGTATGTTTTTCTGACTTATTATTGGGTTATCTGTTATTGATATTGAAAACAATAGAGACGTGGTCGTGCTGGTCGTGTGCAACCTGGGGTTTGTTACAGAATGTATCCAAAACTAGTGCATGATGCTATGCCACACTATCAATTACCTGAGATTCTTAGAACACCTTTGCAAGAGCTTTGCCTCCATATTAAGAGCTTGCAGTTGGGAGCTATTGGTTCATTTCTGAACAAGGCTCTTCAACCCCCAGATCCTCTCTCTGTTCAAAATGCTATCGAACTTCTGCAAACAATTGGTGCTCTTGATGATGCGGAGGAACTTACCTCACTTGGTTTGTGATGTTCCAAGATCTAGTGTTTCATCAATTTTTTTTGCTGCTACAAGAACTAACTTTTCCTCAACAGGGCGCCACTTGTGCACTTTGCCCTTGGACCCAAATATTGGGAAGATGCTTCTCATGGGCTCCTTCTTCCAATGCCTAAACCCTGCCTTGACAATTGCTTCTGCTCTTGCACATCGTAACCCATTTGTTCTCCCTATAAATCGGAAAGAGGAAGCAGATGCTGCTAAAAGATCCTTTGCTGGTGACTCTTGCAGGTTAATCCATTACGCCCCACTGCTCTTTGTCATGACTTTACTCCTATTTTTGAAGGGTCTGTGGATGAAAGGTTTAACGTTTTTTTGGAAAAAATGCTTTAGGAGGCTTAATCAATTTTGTATTACCTTGATAAAAAATGCTTCTAAAAACAAATTTACTATAAAATGCTTCAAGATAAACTCTTATGCCTCCAAAGCCCCCTCTCCAAAACCCTCCAAAATCAACCTTCAAACTGATGTTAACTGATGCGTATGTTCACTACTTCACTCCCATTCCTCAAACAGCGACCATATTGCCCTTCTCAAAGCTTATGAAGGATGGAAAAATGCTAAGCGTCAGGGTAATGAAAAAGCATACTGCTGGGAAAACTTCTTGTCACCAATAACCCTGCAAATGATGGAAAATATGAGAATGCAATTTCTTGATCTACTGTCTGATATTGGGTTTGTTGATAAATCCAAAGGTCTCAAGGTTAGTGCATTCCTTCCCAAGTGCATTTTGGTTTAAGAAGCATTTTCAGTACACACTTAATTGAAATCTTAATTACAGACAAAATATCTCTTGTTTCATATACTCCATAGCTGAAACTGTGTTGATGTAAGTGATTGGTGTGTGGTGACAATGGAAAGAGTAGTAAATAATGTCTGCTTTTGCACAGGCTTACAATGAATACAGTAATGACTTGGAGATGTTATGTGCAATTCTCTGTGCTGGGCTATACCCTAATGTTGTTCAGTGCAAAAGAAGAGGAAAGCGGACCACATTCTACACAAAGGACGACGGAAAAGTTGATATTCATCCAGCTTCTGTCAATGCCAACGTTCACCTCTTCCCCCTCCCTTTCATGGTCTACAGTGAAAAGGTCAAAACAAGCAGCATCTATGTGAGAGACTCCACAAACATTTCGGACTACACACTTCTCATGTTTGGTGGAAATCTCATTCCTAGTAAAAGTGGAGATGGTATCGAGATGCTTGGAGGGTACCTCCACTTTTCCGCATCAAAGAGTGTGTTAGAATTAATAAAGGTAATCTTCCTTTATTTGAAAAGCTTATGGCCTTCTCTTGGGTTTATTGGCAATGGAGCTAAAAAAGTCATTTCTGATAGCTTCGGGTAAATAATGAACTAAATCAAAATACGGAGTAGCAAATTGAACTTCCCTGCTTCTTGCATTCTATGAAGCATTGAGGGTCTTAACGGGGAAAAGCTTTTTACTTTTAAGTAAAAGGTTGCGTACATTATGATCCCTGGACTCCAACGGAGTTGGGATTGTATTGGTTTTGTGGTAGTAGTAGTTCTTGATGTTGCTGTTGTTCGTGGTCATCAATATCTTTTACACATTTTCAATTTAAGTTAAATTAATAACACTCAATTTGTAAAAATATATTGCAGAAACTGAGGGGAGAACTCGATAAACTACTGAAGAGGAAAATTGAGGAGCCGGGCCTTGACTTCTCAACCGAGGGAAAGGGTGTCGTTGCTGCTGTTGTTGAGTTGCTACACAGTCAGAATATTCGGTATTGATTTTTGTGTACTATAAAACATAATTTATCGATAAATAACACAGCCCTTTAAAAAAAACTTGACCTTCAAAAGGCTTGATGTTGCAATTTAAAATTCTTGATTCATGTTTTTTTAATGATCAACAATTTGTTCACCCATATATTTGAGTGTATAAATCCAACCTAGAATGATAAATAGTACTCCAAACACAAGGATATTCATATGGAAACTAAAACGGTAAAAACCACGAGCTTTTTTTTTGGCGTTAGCATGCCAATGATGGTTCGTATATCATATATCTGGGGTGTGCATGGACAATATAATGTTTGTGGAGAAAATGAATATACAAAGAGGAAGAGTATAGTGTGTTGAAGTGTGAGTTGTGAATAATGATCCCCTTCATGGATCAAGCTCAACTTTCTTGTTCTTATGGGAGTATTATTCCATCACAAGCTCGTTCCTTAGTTGACATAAAATGTTGGCTGAAACAATATCTTATATTTGTATCCCTTCAATTGTCTCTCTTCAATTCCAACTCTTACAATCTTTATTCTTGAAGTCTCTGGACCTATAATTGCCTTGTGGCTCTTCATGGTCTAGAAGGGTTTTTTATCTAGTCCGCTATCTCTTGTACTTTAAGGCTTAAACACTCTGGGGTCCTAAGCACAAGGAAGTACTCATACCATACATCTGGATGTGTGGTGTTTTCTGTACATTTACATCACTACTCATTTTTTAGCAACTGAATACTCATTTTCGAGAAACAGAATGCTCATTTTCGAGGAATAGAATACTCATTTTCAAGCATGACTAAGTTATAGAAAAATGATTATTCAGTTACTCGAAAATGAGTACTTGCCTTGAATTTACAGGAAGTATCATACAACTGGTTGTACAGTATACATTTCGGACACAAGGGCCCTTGCCCCTAAGTTGCATGCCTTCTTTCACCAAGTTTTCCAAGTGAAAATCTTGCAAGAGGAGTGTTCATATCCAAGATTTCAATCAAGGGGAATGCTTTACCCTCAATGTTCTTGGGCCCTTTGTGTAGTTGTTCCTTACATGGATATGCTAACACTTTATAAGGAATTATCCACCCTTTAACTCGTAAGGATTTCTGAACTCCTCCCATGAATAAAATTATTTCATCCAACAAAGGTTGAGGTCTCCTATATCGAGCTCTTTAGCTTGCCACTCTTCAGCCTCCTCCGAGTCGCGCATTGTGGTTCGAAGGTGAGGCTTACCGCGACCTCCATAGTTAAGTTTGACGAAAATCGTCCTAACTTTTCTTGCAGGCGGTCAAGAGGGCTAGCGGGACAATCTCAGGCTCTGGACCTAAGTGTGTCTATATGACTCACTTGTCTCGTGGGAGAAACACATTCGCGAAGAAGCTCTCTCTTCAGATACTGCTGAGCACTCAATGAGATTCTTCATACGTTGCACGAACTCGAAGAAACTCCCAAGTACTCCGTACTTGCTAATCTTCAAATCTTCAGACTGTTCAAGCCATGCATCAACCTCGAATCTTGTAGTGTGAGGCTTGATAATTAGAGCTTTTTAGGGCTTCCTTTTTTAGTTCTAGGTAATATTACGATCCAAATCTTCTAATATACCCTACTCGAAAAATTGAGTGGTACACGAGGCTTCCGAGTCTGGAACTCTCTTACCTCTCATTGTTTTTGGCTAAGGCATGCTTCTCAAATAATAAACATATTTAAATTTAAAATTCACAAATGCAAGTTTGTGAACTGTTTATTTGTGGCACTAGCATTTTTGTAATATTTATATTTACACTGATATATTTTTATAAGAATTAAATATTTCAAAATTACGTTTCGAAAGAGAACTATTGATATTACATTTATATCAAAAAACTATTTTTTCTATATATCGAGGTCAAAGTTTCCAAATATTGAAAAAAAATCAAATGGAAACAATGTTACTACCTTTACAAGGAAACAAAGTATATAAGACAACTAATTATGCAAGGAAAGAAGATAAGTATATTTTATTTGATTGTTGCCGCCCAAAGATAATTAAATACTCGGGATGTGTTTAAAGATAATTATGTAACATGCATTAAGGTCCTATTCTTTAGAACTGTAAAAAAAGCTGGATGTTGGAAGAACAGGAAGAAACTGAAAGAAACTGGAAAAAATTGGAAAAACTGAAAAAAAATAAAAGAAACTAAAAAAACTAGAAAAAATTGAAAAATATTTAAAAAAAAATTTAAAAAATTTATGTGTGGTTTATATTATTCTCATTCTGAATCTTGTTGTTATAAATTATTATTATTATTATTATTATTATTATTATTATTATTATTATTATTATTATTATTATTCTTGTTGCTGTTGTTGTTGGTGGTGGTAGTAGCGGTGTTATCACGTTATTTTAATGATTGTCTTTAAGATAAAAAAAATATTACGAGTATTATTTTTCATATAAAAAAAGCTAGTTTAAAAAAAATAATTAGAATATAAAATGAGCATAAATATTAGACTTCTTGGGTCATTTTTTCTTTTTCAAAATGTAGTTTTCTCTTGGTTTTCATAATATTATTCTTCTAGGCCCTTAAATGTAATTTACCTTATATAAATTTAGATTAAAAAATATTCTATATAACTATTTATCCATATTTTTTTAAATAGTTTCCTAATTTTTCATGTAGATTAATATACAAAAAAATGGTATTATTCATATGAAAAAGTTGAAGAATCTGGAAGAATGAATGTAAATCATAAAAATAGTGAGATGAAAAAATGAAATAATTTATAAACTATAGTTATGAACATAAAAGTTGTAATTAAAAAAAGTTGTAATAATAATAATAATAATAATATATTTTTTAGAGTGATTTGTGAGAAAGTAGAAAGAATTTGTCGAAAATAAATATAGTTGGGAGAAATTAGAAGAAACTGGAAGGAACTTGAAGAAACTAGAAGGAACTGGAAAAAACTGGAAGGAACTGGAAAAAACTGGAAGAACTGGAAAAATTGGAAAGAACTCGAAGAAACTAGAAGTTAACAATTCAAGCTCTAAGGAACAGACCATAAACTTAATTTTTTCATATATTGATAATAGGAAAAATTCACATAATTCTTCGGATGACTGAATTTGTACATAAAAATTTTGAACTTCAATAAATGACATTGACACTTCCAAAATCTTCAAATGTTTACGGGCCTGCTTGGGAATCACATTAGTATTTTGAAAAAGCTATCTACGGGCAGCGTTTAGTGTTGGCGTTTCCAAAGTAATCTGCACTATTAAAGTTATATCCAAAACGCTAACGCTAATCTGTAACGTTATTCTAAAAAAGACCTTACATCACTAGTGAGACAGCGAGTGATGTTAGAGAGTAGCATGAACTTATCCCGAGGATCTACTTGGGGCCTGTTTGGGAACAACGTTAGAGATTAACGGTAGCGTTTTGGATAAAATTTTAACGGTGCAGATTACTTTGAAAACATTAACACTAAATGCTGCCCGTAGATAGTTTTTTCAAAACGCTAAAACTAATCGCTAACGCTATGGCGGGTGCATAGAGTAATAATTGAAGGAATGGAATTAATGAAGGGTATATTAATCTTTTAATTAATTTTTGTTTGTGCACAAATACTCCAAAGCCCACCACCTAAAAAAAGTACATGATGAATATTTTAAAAGAAAATACAAGATCAAATTTAGGTAGCACGGACTTAATGTAAAAATGTAAATGAATTGAATAATTTTGATTCAATTTACATTTGAAAAAATCAAATCTGAATTTGATACGAAAAGTATTTGTTATTCGTTATGTTAACGAATACGAATATGAGTATATCATACTCGGTTAGGTACCTAAACGAATATATTTGAAAAGATGAGTCAAAATTATAAATATCAAAAAATTAATTGACAACAAACAACTTACTTAAAAATTAGACGTATGCATATAGAGTGTTTCTTTGATTCACCTTGAATGCATATTATTTTTGTGGACCTTCTCACATAAAAAATCTTTTTTATTTATTTATTTAAAAAAATGCTTATTTAAGTAATAAAGAAATGTTTATTTTGTTCATATGTAGGTCAATGGTGGATCTTAGATCCAACATAGAATTTGCCATGCATATATTTTAATCTTCAATACGATAATTATGAGTTTATAATTCTTTTTCCCTAATAGTTAATGCCAAAATATGGTCATGTTCTCTTTTCCTGATCTGAATGATTCTTATCTGATTAGATTAATTTTTTTTATCTAATTTGGTCTAATCTAATCTGAATGTAGTTAAACTTAAAAATGTTTATGATATAATTTGAGCTGATTCTAAAAAGAAAAAGTAATAGGTAATAAGAATAAGGACATGTTCTCTTCATCAGATCTGAATGGTTCTGCTCTGATTGAAATAAGTATTGATCTGATCTTGTCTAACTTGATCTGAATGGACTTATATTATCAGATCCGATCTGGTTTGATTTGGTCTGGTCTGATTCCAATAAGAAAAAGTTGAAGATAACATGGCTTATATCCATACAAATAGTTTTGAAAAAAAAATCTCCCTGAGTAGAAGTTAAAAGATTAGAATTCACCAAAATATAAGACTAATTTTATTATTTACTTCAATATGAGTGGACCCCCTCTACTTTTATTTTTATTCTGTATTTGTCCTTTTATTAATTTTACGCTTGACCTAATTGTTTTCGTTGTGGTGGTTGTTGTGATGGCAGTGTGGCGAAAAAAGGTAGTAATGTTGCGGCGGCAGTTGATAATGAGGTGACAAAGGCTGTGTTCCGCACGCCTGATCTGATTGAATCTGATCTAAATTTTTGAAGTTTTGATCTGATATGATCTGATTGGTTCTAATCTGATCTGATTGGATCTAATCTGATCTGATTAGATCTGATCTGATTAGATATGATCTGATCTGATTGGATCTGATCTGATTAGGTCTGATATAATCTGATCGGATCCGATTGGATCTAATTTTCTCTAATTAGATCGGGTGTAAATGAATTTAAATTTGATTTGAATTAAACTTAAAATTATTACAAAATTTAATAATTTTAAAGTATTACAATTCATATATGCATAAAAAAAGTAAAATAAGAAAATCAGTTAATCATTGATATGTTTAAACTTTTTTTAAAAAAATATTAAATATCTTTTCAATATCACAACTTTTTAAATTTTTGTGAAAACTAAATAATCGGTATTAAAATAACTAAATATTAGAAAATATTGATGCTATTCTACAAGAATATCACATTCTATATACATATTAGATAATAATATATTTCATGTTACAAATTAAATATCATATAAAATTTTAAACACTAATATCCCTTTCACCTCTATTAATTTTGTCATAAACTCACCCTTGTGTATATTATACCTTCTTAAAGTTTAAAAGTAAGTCTTTTAAGTATAAAATATTTATAGTTTTGAAAACTAAGTTTTGTATAATTATTTTATAAACAAGTATTTTAAAATAACTCTTTTTAAAGTATGAAAAATAAAACTTTTTTGAGCTTTAACATTGCTTCCATGCATCATTTCTATCCTACAAGCTAAACAATTATTAAAAATAATGGATTGTAGTTGAAATATAATAATAATAATAATAATAACAACAATAATATAACTGCAATAATATTTAAAATTATAATATCAATTAAGATTTAGGTGTGTGTATTTTTAAATAAAGTAATGTGATTTAATCAAATAATAGTAATTATTATTTAATCCTTGAAAAATATAAATATTATCTTTTACATTTTTCTTGATTTGATATTATTGGATTTGATCTGGTGTGATCTGATTTGATTGGATCTGGTTTGATCTGATTGGATCTGATTGGATCTGATCTGAATGAGTCTGATCTGATTGAATCTGATATGATCTGATTAGGCCTGGTCTGATCTGATCTGATTTTAATAAGAATAAGTAATAAGTAGAAAAAATAAGTCCTACGGAATAGACCCAAAGTTGATAGTGTGGCGACGATGGTGGGGGTGGTGATGACAATGTGGCAGCAGAGCAAAATAATGCGACCGGAGAGGTGGTGATGGTGACAGTGTGGCAGCAGGGTGACATTGTGGTGGCACAAGATGGCGTGGCGACAGTGGAAGTGGTGATTATGGTGGTGTGGTGGAGTTGGCAATGTGATGGTAGAGGTGGCAGTGTAGCGGATGGTGGTAGTGTGACATGGGAGGAAGTGAATTTTGAGGAGGATACACGGGTGATGAGGACAAAATAAACCAAAACCAACTCATATTGCTTGGTCCACTCCTACATGAGTTAACTTGCTTTTTACTCCCATTTAGGAGGATCTCCCATGAAAAATTACTTTAATATTCTGTATAATCAAATTTTTTTTAAGAAATAAGTTAAATGTTTATAAGATATTTTAAGATTTAAACAAACCAAATGTTTTTTAAATGAAATGAGAATTTTTAAATGAATTGAATAATTTAAATTGAATATTTAAACGAACTGAATTTTTTTATGTATGATAAACGAATTAAATATGAGTCTCTAAAAATATTCGAACCAAATACGAATTTGGGTATAAATATCATCTAAAACTAGCGAATATGAATAATATTCATGGATATTTGATTTGATTTATTTACAATACCGTGTATATTAATTTAGAGAGATTTCTTTAGGGGTGAGCATCAGGTCGTTTCGGTCAGTTTCGGCCCAAGATCAAACTAACTGAAAAAATTTATCATTCAAAATAACCAATCGAACCGAACTGACCTTGGGCTAAAACCGAACAAACTGAAACTGACAATAACCGAACCAAAACTGACAATAACCGAACCGACCTTGAATTCTAATTTAATTATTAAATAGTAAAAAATAAAAGTAAACTATAATTACAAAAAAAATGCAAAAATGCATACTCCGTATTTAAGATATCTATTTTTAAATATGTGCAGATTTAAATTGTAAAAAATTATGATGGACTAAATTCCGATTTTATTAAATATTAGTAAAAAGTTTATCCACACTTGAATTTGTAAATTAATTAATAAAAGAAGTAGAACTAAGGATTAATTAAAAAAGATGAATAAAGGAATGAATATGGACAAATAAGTGTCTTGGAAATAGAAGGAATAAATGATTAAAGGGACATGGTTTAGCTCAATTCACTTATTTGGACTTAAAAATGGGTAATATTAATTTCCCCTGGTTTCCATGACATTGGGAATCAATGTCATGGGATGACCCGGGGTGTTCCGGTGTCTCGTTCGCAAAATTGACGGTTCCAACCTCTCTACCCCGGTAAACCCCCAACCCTGCCCAGACATGAACACACCCCCACATCCCTTCAATTGCACCCCCAAGTTAATTTTGATTTGGAGTCAAATTTTGACTCCAAAATTAAAATTAACTTGGGGGTGCAATTGAAGGGGGTGAGGGGTTTACTTGAGAGGTTTTGAAGGATAGGAACCGTCAATTTTACGAACGAGGCACCTGAGCACCCTTAGGTCATCCCATGACATTGATTCCCAATGTCATGGGGATCAGCCCGATATTAATAAACATTAGGGTGAATATGGATTCTGGTTATTCGGTTAACCGAATAAACCGAATTAAAGAACCGAAATCAACCGAATTAACAAAAAAAACCGATAATTTGATAATGGGTAACCAAAACTAAAACCAAAAAATTGATTATTTCGGTCATTTTGGTTTTCGGTTTCGGTTCGATTATTTTGCTCACTCCTTTGAGTAAGAAAAGAAAAAGAAAAAATAGGGAGATGACAGAGAAAGAACTTACTTTTGGGTCCATGCTACAAATTGACGTGCAAGTGTCCTTCCTATGTTCAATTCGTTCCATCCGATCTGCAACAGAAGAAAAGGAAGATGCCTCAATGCTGATGACTCTCTCATCCCGGAAACCTAAGCACTCTCAAATTCTGTATTTACACACACACACACACACACACACACACACACATATTCTCCTTTTTCTTTTTTCTTTTTCTTCTTCTTCCTTCGTTCTTCTTCCATATTTGACAGTCGAACCCCCGCCAACCCTTTTACCCACGGCGGCTCTGCCCCTCGCCGCCGCCAACATCATCTCTCTTGCCCTTTTCACAGGCACGCACCCTTTTTTCCCCTGTTATTTTATTATCTAAGGTAAAATACAGAACGAATCATTGCAACAAGGAAAAGATTAGTAAAAGGACCTGAAAATTTTCAGTGATGATCGAGTGAGCGTCATCACCGCGGCCGCCATTAGGAACCCTGGAAGTTGTGTTTGGAGGGGGAGGGAGGGAGGGGGGGGGGGGGTTATCTTCAATTTGTACCCTTTGGTATTGACATACTACACATAGAATATAGCAGTAATTCCATTGCTCTCGTATTAAAATTTTGTGGAAGAAATATGAACAGAGTGCTGCTGCTCTGTTTGATGGACAATCTGGATATCTTCTTCCTTTTTTTGTATAACTTTTGAGTGATTTTTGGAGGGATTTTTCACTTCTCAGGATTTATGGCCTGGGTAATCTATGGCATCAGTACAAATTTTCTAAATTTCCCAATTTTCCCATTTTATGTCAATCAATCTCTCTCTCTCTCTCTCTCATACAAGTTTCAAGCTAGGTATTGGCCGAATTTCTTAAGTATCCTTCAAAATGATGAGTATTTGTGTGTGATTTTAAGTACTGGCATGATCCTGTCCTTAATAAAAATAAGGTGTATTTTGTTATTTTTCATCTGCAAGGGTTTATAGTATACTTTAATGTGTGCAGTATAATATAGAAGGGGCTGATCAATGGAAAATCGAGGCCAAAAGAGAACAGATACTGATGATGAGCTTCCGGCTGATAAGAGAGCATGTAGTTCATTAGAGTTTAGGGCAAGTTCATCAAACTCATCAGCTCAAACAACCCCTTGTGAAGGTCATGGGATTGAAATGGAAACATCATCTACAACTTCAGGATCAAATCATTCAGATGGAGAAGGTGAAAGGGAATCTACTTATGGATCTTGTGACTCTGACAGCTATAGAGAATACTACAATCAAAGATCATCGGGTGATCAAAGCAAATTCAAGAATATTCTTTTGAGCTTAACTGAGGAGAGCGAAGAATCAGTGCAATTGGTTGCGCTTAATGAACTGTGCGAATTGTTATCGTTTTGTTCTGGTAGTTCCCTTTCAAGCCTAATGACGGATTCATTCTCTCCTGTCTTAGTCAGATTGGCTAGGCACGAGAATAATCCTGATATAATGCTGCTCGCAATCAGGTCTTTAACTTATTTGTGTGATGTCCATTCTCGGTCTTCGGCGTTTCTTGTTAGACATGATGTTGTCCCTGCTCTTTGTCAAAGACTTTTGGCTATCGAGTACTTGGATGTGGCTGAACAAGTATGTGCAAATGCTTTCACTTTATTTTTTTATGATTATGATATCAACTTTTTTGCTCTAGCTATGTTTTTTCTTCTTGAGTAAAATGCATTCTCTTCCCATTACAGTGCTTGCAAGCACTGGAAAAAATTTCACGTGAACAACCACTTGCTTGTTTGCAATCAGGGGCAATAATGGCTGTTTTAAATTATATTGATTTCTTCTCAACAAGTGTGCAGGTAATAATAGAACAAGCTGTAAATGCATTCATTATTAGGAACCTGCAACTCATAGGAAGTCAAGTTCTGATTTGTTCCTCTTTTTCTGTTCACCTCTTTTTTCCTCATGAATAGAGGGTTGCAATTTCAACAGTTGTAAATATATGTAAAAAGCTTCCATCCGATAATCCCTCACCTTTCATGGAAGCAGTTCCAATACTGTGTAATCTTCTCCAGTACGAGGATAAACAGGTATGCTAGTCTATCAGACTGAACCTTTACAATTTCTTTTCCAGTTCTTTCTTTCTTCCTAACTTTATTTTCTGATCTAAGTTATTTCCTTTTTTTCTGATCCAAATTATTTTCCTGCTCTTCAGCTTGTTGAAAGTGTGGCTAGTTGCTTGATAAAGATAGTCGAACAAGTGTGCCACTCTTCTGAGATGCTTGAGGAACTTTGTAATCATGGACTAGTTCAACAGGCCACACATCTAATAGACTTGAATAGCCGAACTACTTTGTGCCGACCAGTTTACATTGTGCGTTGATGTTTTTCTTTGGGGGGGGGGGGTTGATAATTGATATTAAATTCTTTTATTGATCTGTTTATATTTGACTTGCTGGTTGGCAGAAATTAATAGGGTTACTTGTAAGACTGGCTTCTGGTTCTGTTTTGGCCGTCAAGACACTCTTTGATCTTAATATAAGCAGCATAATATGTAATATAATGTCCACCTATGATCTTTCCCATGGAGCGCCTTCAACTCCCATGGTTGATGGGCAATGCAATCAGGTATGTCACTGTATTCATCGTGTTTTCTTGTAGCATGTTTTTGACCAGATACTGTGTTTCATTTCCTATTCACGTGCTCCAAAAAGTGACTGCCTAGGGGATGAACTGCAGACAGTCACTATGATTCACGCCAAATTGGCTAATTAGTCAGTTGGCCTACTAATCGGCAGTACAGGTGCTGCCTGGGTTATTGTTATTTACCTTTATGTTGGGTGGGTGAGTGGGGGTGGGGGGGGAGGGAAGAAAGATGTTTTCTTTTATTGATATTTTATATAACATTATGTTCTTGTGTTGTTGAGTGTTATGATGTGTACTTGTAGTAGACCCTTTGAATCATATTCCTACAATGTTTGATCTCTGGTAACTTAAAGTCAAGCTATTTTATCCAACAGCAAGTAAGCTAGGAACACTTTGTGGTATCACCACAACTAATTCTCTTGGGCTAACGACTATGGGGCCATATGGTTGGGCTGTAAGCGGTTGCTGCTGGAGTTGTTCATGAAATCCAGCAACTACATTTTGGAGTTTTTTGTGCAGATCATTTGATCAGCTCCATTCAAACAACAACTCAAACAAACACCCCTTATCACTTCCCAAATGTTGTCAAAATGCGCTCTTTTTAGTAGTGACTAGTGATGTTTTCTAGGCAAATCAACTCTAATGTTACAACCTCTAAGAGTGTGAGAGGGTGGTTGGTGAATGACTTTAAACTTACAGGATACAGCCTTCACTTAGTGTGTTAACATGGTATCATACCTTCATTACAGATAAAGAATTCAGTTGACTTTGACTACTGTGTCAATGGGTGATGATACTTATTAAATATTGACATTAATTGCATTACAGTCTGTCAACAAAATACTCAAGTCAGTCATGTTACACAATTGAAAATTTGAGATATTAATTACCAAATTCAGTATAAATGAATAAGTATAACATTTAGAACTTTTCTTTATCTAGGGGATAGATACTATCAATTTAAAAGTTGGGTTACTATAAAATCAATCAAAACACATACTCCCTCCGCATTTCCTGTTTTGATTAACGTGCAAAACCCCGTAGATTTTAAAATGATTTTATTTTAAAATTGGTAAGGAAATAACACATAAAAAATTATATTTAAAAACTACATTGAAAACTCTACAAAATAAGAGGCGACTAGAATATTTTATTTTATCAAATGATCAATGAAAACACGCAAACAAATTGGAGTTATCGAGAGGCCATAATAGTAAACAGGAAAGACTTTTTGGGACGGAGGGAGTAAAATATAGTACTCTGCTGTGATTGTTTTTTTTAAACACAATATAGAATATAACATGAAGCTAACATGAACTATATAAAAACAACAATAATAATGACAACAAAGCTTTTATCCATGGGCTAGTTACATGAAATAAGAGGAGAATCGAGTTCGGTCGTACACAAAAATGCTTTGTTGCTATTATCCTCTCTATGTCCAAATTCAGATAAGAAAAAGAAGTCGTGATCACTTCCACCCACATCTTTTTGAGTTTTTCTCTTCCTCTTTTGCACAAATCATTTACCCACCCCTCAAGTTTTCTAACTGATGCTTCACTAGATCTTATTTACATGTGTCCAAACCACAATAGTCGATTCTCTCGCAATCTATTTTCAATAGATGCCCACTTCAACCTTCTTTTGAATGATCTTGTTTCTTATTCTTTCCACCCTAGTATGCCCACACATTCTTTGTAACATACACATTTTACCTCCCTTTATTTTCATAATATGGACACCCTTTACTCATACACTATAACAAAATCCAAACTATATCAACTTATTTCATTTTTGTCTCCAAAATCAAAACCTACGTGTTCACTTTCGTACCCAAATATAGTTGATCCTACATGTCCATTCAAATGCCCGTCAATGAAAAATCTCTCACTATAAGCCTACTCGGTATCCTTTTTTATCAATGTTGTAGATTTGAGGCAAAGGATTATTTTAATGGCTGGTTGTTTATAGTTTTCTACAGAATCAGATATATTGGTAGATGACATGATGTGCCCCTTAAATGTGCATTCTTATTAAACTTTTTGAGTAACAAAGTCAATGTCGATCTTTCATGTTTGACTTGCAACCTCCTCATATACATTGTATATGTTTTTTGCTCTATCTTTGCATGTATACCACCTACATGTCTCAAATACCTGCAGGTTACGGTTTTTTTTTTAAAATGGCATCTGACTTTTCTCTGGGTTGCCTTTTTAAAGCTTATAGTAATTTTAAACACCTTTAGTGTAATGCTATTATGTACTTGGTAATTTTAAACAGCTTTAGTAATTAGTATTAACATTATCATCTACTTCATGTTCCAAAGGTACATGAAGTTCTGAAGTTGTTACATGAGCTCCTACCTCCTATATCCCGGGAACATGACACCCACAAAACCACTGACAAGGAATGTTTTCTGATGAGCCGCCTTGATCTATTGCAGAAATTTGGAATTGATTTACTTCCTGTTCTGCTTCAGGTGAGCTTCACAGTTTCAGTCCCTAACTTATGTTGTCGTTGTGGCTGCTGCAGCAGTTGTGATTGTTGTTGTTGTTGTTGTTGTTGTGTTCTATGTTTTGTTTTGGGGGTTTAAGGCTTGGTTCTTATTGTTATTATTTTCTTCTTTTTTAATGAAATAGGTGGTTAATTCTGGGGCAAATTTACATGTTTGCTATGGTTGTCTCTCCATTATCCACAAGCTAGTATACTTCAGCAATTCAGACATGCTCGCCCAATTGCTTCAGGACAGCAACCTGTCAAGGTGCAAGAGGGTTTCCTTTCTATGTGCTGTCTTTAAGCTAATATTTGAATTTATGCTCTAGTTCCCTGGAAATTTTGAAATTGCTATTGAATCATATTACAGTTCTTTGGCTGGGGTGCTTTCTCGGAAAGATCACCATGTGCTGATACTAGCTCTTCAAATTGTTGATACGCTTCTGCAGAAGCTATCAGATGTTTTCTTAAGCACCTTTGTCAAGGAAGGTGTTGTATTTGCAATCGATTCACTTCTTTCCACAGGAAAATGTTCACAGTATGGGTCAAATGGTGTTCAATCATCAAACGAGCCAACAAGTAAAACACCACCACCAACAGGTGCATTGAGATGCTTATGTTTTGCTTTTGATGATAGCCAGACTCGGACCACTTCAGAATCTGCCAGGAGTTGCAAGCTGGAGAGAGAGACTGTTCAGAATCTTGCACAGCATATTAAGACAAATTACTTTGCTCCAGAACTAATGAGTCCTGAGAATGGATTAACTGCTGCCCTTCAGAAGCTAAGAACTTTATCCTCTGCATTGACAGATCTGATGAACAAATATTTGACCAATGTTGATGCTTCTTGTATGCAACATGAAACCTACTTTTATGAGTTGCTTAGTCAGATCATCTCACAGCTAAATGGGAAGAACTCCATTTCCACTTTTGAGTTTGTCGAAAGTGGAATAATGAGATCTGTAGTTAATTTTCTTTCTATTGGTCAATATCTTTCTGTGAAGACTGAAAATGTTGGAGCACTTCTCCAGCAATATAATATTGAGAGGAGATTTGAAATGTTTGGAAGATTACTTATGTCGTCCTCAGAGCCATTATTTATAGACTCGACTTTTATAGCTCTAGTACATCAATTGCAAAGTGCACTGTCATCGGTGGAAAATTTCCCTGTTATCTTAAGCCAATCACCCAAGCTACGTAACTCATATGCTACTGTACCATTTGGACGGTGCACCTCATACCCATGCCTTAAAGTTCAATTTATCAAAGGAGAGGGGGAGACAATCCTGTTTGATTATTCAAATGAAGCGGTGAACGTTGATCCCTTTTCATCTTTGGATATGATAGAAGAATATCTTAGACCAAAAGTGAGTAATAACAAAACAAACAATGATCCAAAATCGCCCTCTCAAACTATGGATGAAGGATCAGGTTCACAGTTTTCACCTGATTTGAGCCCTTCTCAAGAGCAAAATTCAGATCCAATGGAATCAGAGAGCATACACGATGATATGAATCAAATGCAGCTTTCCAAGGTATTAATGCTTTCAACTAAATTTATCCAAATGTTACAGTTTTGTATACTGGTCCATTGCCAAAGGAGCTAAAAGAGTCATTATTGCCAATGTTTTAGTTTCAGGCAAATAATAGACTAACTCAAAATGACACATTAGAATTCCTTTGCTTATTAGTTTCTATGAGGTTTTGCAAAGTAAATGCAGCAATGCATCTAGGGTCTAATAATAACAACCTATTTGTTTTTCATGGGTAAGACTGTGTAGTGTGTACATCTTGACCCCCCAAAACCCAACTCCGTTGCTATTATACTGGATAGTTGTGGCTGTTTCATTTATCTATAATCTAAGATCTACACCTTAATCCCAACTAGTTGGGGTTGGTCGCTTAGAATTTTTAGTGCCAATTAAATTCTAGAACTAAATGGGTGTCTTTTGTTTTCTTTTTCTTTCCATTATCTCTTCCCTCAGAGAGAGGGGAATGCCATAGCTGCAACCATACCGGTGGAAAAAGCAAATACAGAGCAGGCCAATGCTGAACCTATGGACATAGCATATAATATGGTTAGTTGATTAGTGATTACTCATTGAATCTCCATCTGAGTTAATATTCTGGATTGAATTGTTCAGGTATGAGATGCATCGAACTGTGTGTGAACATATTTTGCTGCATGATGTTTGTGCTGTATATCCTTTCTCAAGCAGCTAAATATTGCCTTTTGAATGTTTGATGATTTCATAACATAAACGGCTTTATTGACTTGCAAGCCTGTCCTGTTGCCTATTTTTACAATGTATCTTACATTATTTTGATTATTTCATTTTAAAGGAGTCTGTGGAGCACGGAAGGCTATATCTGTCTGAAAATAGTATTATGAGTACCGAGTGTCCTCAATGCAGTGGGGAAGACCTTCCAATGAAATTGTCATTCTACTTGGAAGGACAGAAACTAAAGAACAAGTTAACACTATATCAAGCTATACTTCAGCAGCAAATTGAAGGAGAAAGTGATGCAATCATTAATCCTAAGGTTTGGAATCAAGTCCATAAAATAACATATAAGTCATATGTGAGACAAAAACAAAATAGTGCCAAAAATTGTCTTCACAGGACACATCATTCACCTTTACAAGACAAGCATACACTGTGGCAACAGTACACTCCATTTTTCTCTAACATATTTGCCTCAGGATTGGTTGATATGGACACATCCAGTCCAACTTATGATATTTTGTGTCTCCTTAGATGTTTGGAGCAAATGAACAGGTTCAGATTTCATCTAATATCACGTGAAAGGGTATATGCTTTTGCAGAAGGGAGGACCAATGACCTGGATAGTTTGAACTCTGATAACTTGCCTGTGCATCAAACTGAATTTGTCAGCAGCAAATTGACTGATAAACTAGAACAGCAGATGAGGGACCCTCTTTCAGTATCCGTTGGTGGTATGCCTTACTGGTGTGTACAATTAATGGATTCATGTCCGTTTTTGTTCAGCTTTGAGGCAAGATGTAAGTATTTCCGTCTGGAAATATTGGGCAAGCAGCCAGTTGAACATCATTTACAATCTAATAATAGTAGTCGAGGCCTGACTGGAAGGCAGCTACCGCGTAAAAGGTGTATGGTTCACCGAAACAAGATTCTGGATTCTGCTTCCCAAATGATGGAACTCCATGCTGGACAAAACGTTGTGATTGAGGTGGAGTACAGTGATGAGGTGGGTACTGGTCTTGGACCAACCTTGGAATTTTACACATTGGTCAGTCATGAGTTTCAGAGAAGTGGTCTTGGTATGTGGAGAGGTGACTGTATGTCAAGTGGCAGCATTGGTATGGAGGATAGTAATACCAATCATCATGGAAGCCTTTTGTCTCCTTTTGGCCTATTCCCTCGTCCATGGTCATTATCTGTTGATGTCTTAGGTGAAATTGAATTTTCTGAAGTGCTTAAAAAGTTTTTCCTCCTCGGCCAAATTGTGGCAAAGTCTCTTCAAGATAGCAGGGTTTTGGATCTTCCTTTCTCCAGAGCATTTTACAAGCTAATTCTTGGGAAGGTATATTCCCTTCGGATCCCGAGTTTCCATCTGATATATGTACGGAGTATATGTTTGTATGTGTCACTTGTTTTCTATATATGATCAGCAGGAGCTCAGTCTATACGATATTCAGTCATTTGACCCTGATTTAGGAAGGACTTTTCTGGAATTTCATGCTATTGTTGAAAGAAAAAGGCATCTTGAAGCTTTGTGTGAGGGAAAATCTACTCTAATGCCTGACTTGTACTTCCGGAACACCAAAATCGAGGACCTTTGCCTTGACTTCTCTCTACCCGGCTATACAGACTACATCCTTACTTCTGCTTCTAATTCGGAACTGGTTAGCCTTTGATGAATGAAGTGGCTGCTTGTGTAGTTTCTAGGAATTATAGGTTTTAGAATATGACGAGCATTTTGTGCTTCCTCTTTAGGTGGATGTATCCAACTTAGAGGATTATGTTTCGCTCATTGTGGATGCAAGTATAAGGTCTGGAGTTTCCAGGCAGGTGGAATCTTTTAAGTCTGGTTTTAATCAGGTTCGCAGTCATAACCCATGTTCTTTGACCTTTATAACAGAAGTCATATTCTTGTAGGGTTTTAGTCTTTAGGCTCTTTACCTTTTTTGGTGGGTTTGAAATCCGTGAGCCATGTTTCTTGCTTCTAAAACTTTGACTAATTTCATAAAATTAATAATGAAGGTAGTCAAACCATTTGTTTCGGATCTATCTTGATTGATTTGTTAATGAAATGTTTAATCTCACATCATTCATTGACATTCTCACCTTCCACTTATTGTGTCATTTCTTTTCCAACAAACCTAGTATTGAACTTTACTTTTTTATTGGCTATTTCAGGTTTTCCCTATCGGGCATCTTCAGATATTCACTGAAGAAGAACTAGAACGTTTACTATGCGGAGAACGCGATATTTGGAATGTACGTGTATTGATGTCATTCTACCTCATGTTCCTTTTTTTAATCTTCATCCATTCTTTTTCTTCATCTGTCTCAAAATTATCTCCTCCCTTATTTGGAGAGGATTCTATGGTTGAAATTGTTTATCTTCTAATAAAATATCATTCAAACAAGTTACACTTTTTTAAAAACCGTGCAAACTCCAATTAGGAGTTAAAGAGGGGGCAGAGTGAGTATTATTTTGTTGCATTACCAAGTGGTGCTGCACATGAGATTAGGTTTGTATTTGTATCAAAGATTCTGGTTTTTTTTTGGACAGTCAAATGAGGTTGTTGATCACATCAAGTTTGATCATGGTTACACGGCTAGCAGCCCTCCTGCTATAGATGTAAGTGCATTCATTTTCCCCTGTTTTTCGGTCAATAAACATTGTCCTCATCTCAATGGTCTGCTTCTAATTATTTTTTTTTGCAGTTATTGGAAATCATACAAGAATTTGATCACGAGAAGCAGAGAGCTTTCCTACAATTCGTGACTGGAGCTCCAAGGTTGCCTCCTGGTGGCTTGGCATCTCTCAACCCTAAACTCACGGTTGTTCTCAAGGTCCGTGTAATGATGCTTTCTTTCTCTCTCCTCACCTCTTCTCTTCTCTTTCTCATGAAATTCATACATATATCTGCTGCTCTGTGACTTTGACAGAAATGCAGCAAATGTGCTGATGACGACCTCCCTAGCGTGATGACATGTGCCAATTATCTTAAGCTGCCACCTTACACTTCTAAAGTTAATTCCTCTCCCACACTACTCTTTAGTTTTCTCTGTTCTGCCCATATATTCATCGAAAGTGGAAACGTGAACAGTTTGCGAAAAATTTACTATTTGTATTTTTCTTTCAGGAGAAAATGAAAGAGAAACTATTATATGCCATAACCGAGGGGCAGGGCGCCTTCTTCCTTTCGTAGGGTAAAGCCAGGCAGGTAAATAATGTGAATACTTAGTTATCAGACTAGGCAGATGGTGTTGATGTACATAGAATGACTAAGAAGTGGTTCTGGCCTTTGGATCTGACTTAAGAAGAAGAAGATGATGACAAAGAGGTTTGAAACTCATTCTAGGGATTTGTACAGAACTTTGTTGGATAGTATTGAACATGGATAGATGCTTTATATTAATACCCAGTGTGGGTTTGAATAAAAAAAAAGTGTTTCCAGTTTCTGTTATGCCAAACATTTCCCTCTCGTCCCCATGTACAGAAATCAGAAATGGCCTAATTGCCCCTATAGAGCTGGTACCATAACTTACCGCCTCACCTCCATCCCCGAGTCCCGAGGGACTAATTGGTACCATAAGTTTCAGCATGATAGCAGAGTTTTGGTACAAGATGGACAATGTTATACCCGAGACCTGGGGTCTTATCACGTTGCTATTTTAGAGAAGGAATTATGGGGAGGTGAGGGGGAAATGGGGTGGCCGAAATATTATGGGGCAAAAGGGGAGTTCTTTTGGTGTTTTTTTTAAAAGAAAAGAGTAAGATTAAGAGGAGAAATGGGGGGTATGAAATGGAAGAAAATCAGGGTTGGATAAACCAAGTTGGTGTTTAAGAGATATTACACACTCTTAGCCTAACTTGGGGTTTGAATCTAGAATTCAAATAAGATATTACACACTTATTTAAATATCTAGAACCTAAAACTCACACTTATGATAACCACTCTTAAGATATAGAATTAGGAATTTGGCTAAAATAGCATCACACTATTTTATAAATACTCAAAGAGTAAAAGGAGTTTTTAATAATTCAGAGAGATGATCATTACAAGGGCCAAATGGCCGAAATATATAAGGAGGGGAGAGGAGGGAAAACACACAATATAATGAATGCAAATACAAGGAACCTTCCTACATCCCTTTATCATTCACTAGCTTCCAATCTTGAGTTGATAAGGGCTGATTTTGTTTGACTTTGTCTTGGCTTTGGAGTTGGCTTTGTCTGTCCTGTTGTGGAGGCAAAAATCACAAAGAATGAATGAAATCCTTTGATGATTGTGGTGAATATTCTGGCTAAAAAGAGGGGACAAACAAAGATGGGTGATGGATGGTGTATTGCCCTTACATTCTTGGTCATATGAGGTGACTGATTTAGTAGGTGGTGTATCAACAACAACTCAAATGTCCCTTGGCCTTTTGTGGTTGTTTATTCAGCCCTAGTAGGGAACATAAAGGGGACAAGAATGGGGAATATCTTGGTTGATGTTGTGTTGGGATAATGAGNAAAGAAAATAACAACAAACAAAGGTTGTGGTTTACACACTCTTATTTTCGGCCAGGGCCTAAAATAGGAGTAGGAAAACTTTATTTTGAAAAGGAAATATTTTGGATGTTTAGGGAAGGTATGGAGAGTGTGGGCTCAGCCTAGGGTGGGTGTAGGACAACCATGGTGTTGGGTTGGGTTCTAAGACAGGAAAATGGAGAAGTTTCAACCCAATTAATGTCACCACACTTGGGCTTTATTCCCCTGATCTGTCTTTCCCTTGGCGGGCTACGGAGAGTCTTCGGGCATGCTCCCGGATATATATCAGACAACTTTTACACCACGTTTGGTTCTTGGAATTTGGAAGGAAAAGAGAAGGTCTCCTTTTACTCACAAAAAATTGAAGGGAAATTGTTTTCCTTAGTTCATGTTTTGCAAGAAATAATATTTTCTACTCTTATAAAGCTTTTCTTTTCTTTCAAATTTCTAGAATCAAACATAGTGTTAGGGTGCATTTGGATCCGAGAGCAAGTAATAGGGTGTGCAATTACTACAATTGTAATTACACATTTGTTTCATTACATTGTAGTGAAACTGTAAGTACTGTTTTTTAGTTAAAATATATGTAGTAGTTCTGTAGTTGAAGTACAAGTCCCGAAAACTTTCTACTTAATCACCTTGTCAATTTTTTTTTTCAAAAATTTAAATAAAGGAAATAACCTTCTTATCCTTCATTATCTCGAATAATTAGTTCAACTAATAACAATTTTCAATCTGCTCTAGAAATCTGTCTTCTCACATAAGAAGATTTTTTTGGACAGAGAGTGATAATATGTACTCATTCCATTCCATTTTAGTGCTTCCCATTATTTATTTTTAGAGTAATTCTTTTGAAATGGTCCTCTCTAATAAAAGAATTTTTTAAATTAGTTCTCAATAAGTTTTTATTATTTATGTAGTTCTCTATAATTGAGATTTATTCCCTAGATAAGTCTTCGTAAATAGTGTTACTCAAATGATGATTAATTGGTGGATATTTTGGTGTTTTTATCCGCTAAATTTAGAATAAGTTCTTAAAATGATTATTTTTAATAAAGTGTTTTCTCAAAATAGTTTTTTTCTAATTAAAGATGTGTTTTTTATTCAAATTTTAAATGTTTTTTATAGGTTTTTAAAAAGTCATGGATTATGTATAACAATGTATTTTTTAAATTTTATATTTAATTATATAGAAATGACCATTTCAAAAATATACTTTAAATTTAGATGGTAGAAATAACAAAATTTTATTTAATTAATCATCATTTGAGCAATATTATTTACAAAAGAGTATCAAATAAATCTTAATTATAAATGACCAACCAATGGACTATGTAGGTAATTAGAACTTATTGAAAACTGAATTGGAAAAATACGATCATTTTGAAAATTTACTCTTATTTTAAAATACATACTTTCTCCGTCTCAATTTAAGTTGTTTGTTTAGTATTCACAACATTATTTACCCGTTTTGCTACTTATTTGATAGAATGACAGTCTTGTCACTTCTTGTTTTATAAATTTTTTATGTAGTCTTTAAATATATCTAACTTTTAGTTTTTAAATTTCATACTAATCTTCAAATAAATTGAATTAAAAATAATTTTAATCGAACCTCATAAATAACAATATATGATTTAAATTAGAGTAAATTTCCAAAATAGTCCTTTGTAATAAGGTATTTTCCCAAATCAGTCCTCAATAAGTTTTAATTACCTAAGTGATAATCTATAATTGAGATTTATTCCCAAGATGGTCCTTCGTATATAATGTTACTCGAATGAGGATTAATTGAGGCTATTTGAGTATTTTTTTTATTTCCCTAAAGTTAGAATTAATTCTTAAAATGATCATTTATAATGAAGTGTTTTCCTAAAATGGTTTTCTAATTAAAGATGTGTATTTGATTTGAAATTTATTAAAAGATTTTTTCTAAATTTTAAATAATTCATGAATTATTTATAGTCAATGTATTTTTTTAAATTTTACATTTAGTTGTACAGAAATGACTATTTCGAGAATATAATGGACCATGTAGGTAATTAAAACTTATTGATGACTGAATTGGGAAAACATCTTATTATAAAGGACCATTTTGAGAATTTATTCTTTAAATTAAGACAGAGAAAGCAGTACATAAATATTTGATGAGGCTCATGAGGGTAACATGGGTGCTATTTTAGTTGGAGTTAAGAGTTTATTTATAAAAAACGAAAAGAAGTGACTTGTACGCATGAAACCTACAAAAAATTGGGAAAGCATTTTGTGGAAAAGAGTGATGCTTACGTGGTTCCAAGGTCTACATTCAAAATGTGGACCTTTTTACATTTTCATGAGCTTTCATGTGAATATTTTCCAGTTTTGAAAAAATCTCATTATTTTTAGGCTATAAAAGAGTGAAACTTCATAAGCAGGAAAAGGGCATTAATATCATTTTAAGTCTGAAAATAGGTTAGGAGGCGTGTAATAATAGTAATAGCAATAATAATAAATTAATAATAATAATAAATTAATAATAATAATAATAATAAGGGCATTAATATCATTCGACCAAAGATTCGTTTCAAATGAGTTGTTAGTTTCACATAGTGAAACTCATTTAGTAGCTTAGTTGAACATAGTTCAATGAACAACGAATAGAAAATCCTAATCCACTCTATATAAATAAGATATTTGTTTATAAGACTAGATAAGCCAAGTTCGAAAGAGGACTAGTTAGAGAAGTCTACATGAAATCAAGAAAGAATCACATCTTGACGGAATCTCATAGTCAGGGAGCTAGACGAGATGTCTGCTTTGTGATTTGCAAACGGATTTACCATCATCCCTTAAAAAGTTGGCTGGAGGAACTGGAGTTTCCTCCCGTTGGTCGTACCTCTCCCATTGGTCTAAAGAGTTGAACTATGTTCAACGAATGTCTAGGGACTTCAAGAAAAAGTTTGGCTGGGTATCAAACTATCAACAGGACTTAGAGATTACTCAATATCTTTCTCTTTCAGTCTTTCTACACAAAATTCTTTCAATTGGCCATTTTCCCTCCCTCCTATGGAGAGTTACGATCATCGCTTCATTTTCTTCCCCATCGCATGCTGCTAAGCTCTGGGCAGATCCCAAGTGCCGAAGGGCAACAACACAGAGAGAAGGGGGTAACAATGCAGAGAAGGGATGCATGGCAGCGCCGGGCTAGGGTTTTAACCCCAGCGCATCCGATGTTTGAATACTGGTAACAACTATGCCACTTCCTCATCATAGTCTTAAAAATTTTGGTGTTGAAGAAGTGGTTTTTTTTAATCCAAGTTGAATGTTTTTCAGACCTCTGGTGTTTCCAAAGGCAAGTTCTAGCGCTAGCGGCAAGGGTTTTGACCCATACCCCCGCGATTGATTCCGACGAGAAAGGTGTTTGGGACCAGATTGCTTGCTATTTTACACAACAAATGCCATAAAATAGCTTGGGTATATCGAAGCTTGAAGAAGGCACTAGCTCGTGAGTTTGTATTCTTTTTATATGGAGTATTAAAAAATATTGCAAAGTTTTAATTCATCTAATTTCCTTTTTTTAAAATAAATTTCTCTGATTTTATTCACAATCCTATCTTTCTTTCTTTTTTTTGTAACTCATAATATTATGTATGAAATATTTGTTTTGCACAAGGATTTTTTCCGATTTCTCTGATTTTTTCAGACATGTCAAGAATGATAGATTTCCTTCATTTCTCTCAGTTGCAGAGCTTCCAAGAGAAGAAGCATCCTTTCGAGCAATCTAGGGTTCGTACTTAGAGATTATATATGTTGGCTTTTTGGATTAAGCTGAACTTTGATTTACGTTTTGGATATGTTCAGGGGTCATGCTTAGGCTTTAATTTAAATTGTGAGGAGCTCCTTTGGATAATATAGAGTTTTCGTTTTGCAGCCCGAGATGTGTTTAGCATCATTTTGATTAATGGTGCGTTTTCACACCTCAAAACCTCTAACTTCACTCACATACACAATAGGCCTAATGTACCATCAGCTTTCTTTTTGTTTCTATCTTTTGGTGAAATCTTTTCAATTATATTGTTTTCTTTGTGTCTCTGAGATGTAGTTTGGAGTGCATAAATGGGCCTTCATTGTGTTTGTAATCACTTTCAACTTTTTAATGAAATACAGAATACAATTTTTTTTTTTTTTTTGCTTTAGAAGTTACACACCAGGTTTTCATTTTTTTTAAACTGGGTTAATGGTTGAGACGTGGCAAACTAAATGTAACCCTTCTCTTTTACTACTCCGTATAATAGTTAGTTTTACATTGATTGGACACACTAGTATTACACAGGTTGTTGCCTGTTGTTGAGTCAACAGTGCCTTCCTATACTCCAATTTATTTTAGATATTGGTTTTATTTTTATTTTATGATGAATTTATATACGGAGTATTAAAGACTAAAAAAATAAATTTTCTTATGATAGCCTTTTACTATCAAATCTTTTACTCGACTTCCACGAGAACCATTGGGAAACGAAGTTTTGTTGCACACTTTGTGAAGCCGAAGGTGGAGGGGGAGAAGGGGAGAGAAAATTAGGTTTAAGGGGAATATTTCTCATTTCTTATGGAATGTAAGAGTAGTACACCTAATTAAATAGAGATGAAGAGTCCTCCTAATCAAATTCTTTGAAGCATAGTGTACATATATCATCCCCATCACATAAGATAGTACTAATAGATATTATTTGAATTATAATAAAATAATTTTGAATTTGCTATAGACGGAATTGAGTTTTTATTGTTTTCTCTAATTGAGAACTAATAACAAATTTTTTAAATTTGTACTTGTTGTTTTTCTAAAGTAATAATTTAAAATTTCATTAAATTTCTTCCCGACGCAAATCGTGTAAAACGACGTAGTCATGACAGAGGAGGGAAAAAAACGAAAAGAAAAAAGTGAATAAAGACCTTATCCTCAAGATCCCAAACCAAAGACATACAGTATCTCAAACGCATCCTCGTCCCAACATTTTAGATACTGGATAAAAATCATAACTCCCTCTTTCTTCCTCAGACCACACAACGCAGATGGTCACCAGCCATGAACACAACAGCTTCCAAATTCTCCCCATTTTCATCATCTACCCATAGCTTCTCCTCGCCTCCTTCCTCAGCTGCAACCACTTTTGCAGCTTGCAGAGTCAAAGTTTCCCAATCAAGTCAACCCCCCACCACCTCCTCCCTGGTCACCACTACCCCTAACCAGGTATCAAATGAGCATCAAGAAGACCAAACTCTTCTCAATCTTCTCCGGCAAAGGAAAACAGAAGAGGCCTGGGCTGCCTGGCTGGCTTGCACCAGATCAGATCATCTTCCCAATCCCATTTGCCTTAGCCGCTTGGTCTCACAACTATCCTATCAGAATACCCAGGAAGCCCTCACGCGTGCCCAGTCCATCGTCCGCCGCCTCCAAGCTGAGAACCAGCTCAGCCTCCTCGACGCCAATTCACTCAGCCTACTTGCTGTGTCCGCAGCTAAGTCCGGTCAGACTCTGTACGCCGCTTGTATTATCAAGTCTATGCTCAAATATGGGTACCTCCCACATGTCAAAGCCTGGAGCTCCGTCGTCAGCCGGCTTTCCTGCTCTGGCGATGATGGCCCCTCCCAGGCTTTGACTCTATTTTCCACAGTCATCAAAAGGGTCCGACGAATCTCGGACCCCGATGTGATAAAAGACTCCAGGCCTGACACAGCCGCCTATAACTGCGTGTTGAATGCCTGTGCAAACCTGGGTGACACTAGGAACTTTTTGCAACTGTTTGAGGGAATGAGTGAGTTTGGTTGTGAACCGGATGTTTTGACATACAATGTGATGATGAAGCTTTGTGCTAGAGCTGATAGGAAAGATTTGCTTGTGTTTGTACTGGAGAGGATAATAGAAAAGGGCATACCTTTGTGTATGACAACATTCCAATCCCTTGTGGCAGCTTATGTTGGTTTTGGCGATCTGGAAACCACAGAAAAGTTGATTCAGGCCATGAGAGAAGGGAGGAGAGATCTCTGCAAGATGCTAAGGGACGATGGCTCAACTTTGAATGAGCAACCAGGTTTAAACGAGAGTGACATGTTCGAGAAGCTACTTCCTAATTCGGTAAATTCAGTAGACAAAGAGCCACCAGAGTTACCTCGGGTGTTTAAACCCAATTCGAGGATGTATACCACTTTGATGAAAGGTTACATGAAGATGGGCCGAGTTAAGGATATAGTAAGAATGCTCCAGGCAATGAGACACCAGGAAGATACCGCAAGCCAACCGGATCATGTGACCTATACAACTGTTATTTCTGCTTTTGTGGAACAAGGATCAATGGATCAGGCACGAGAAGTCCTGGCTGAGATGGCCAGAATTGGAGTTCCTGCAAACAGAATCACTTACAACATTCTCATTAAAGGGTATTGCCAGAAATGCCAGATAGACAAGGCTGGGGAACTTGTGAAAGAGATGGTAAATAGCACTGGGATAGAACCAGATGTGGTTTCTTATAACACTCTCATGGATGGATGTATATCCGTTGATGATAGTTCAGGGGCCCTTTCGTACTTCAATGAGATGAGAGCAAGAGGGATCGGTCCCAATAAAATCAGTTATACAACATTGATGAAAGCTTTTTCTTTGGCTGGCCAACCAAAGCTAGCTAACAAGGTGTTTGACGAGATGGTAAAAGATCCTAGGATAAAGGTTGATTTGGTGGCTTGGAACATGTTGATTGAGGGGCATTGTAAGTTGGGGAAGATCGACGAAGCCAAAGCCATAATTCAGAAGATGAAAGACAATGGTACATTTCCTAATGTGGCTACCTATGGGAGTTTAGCTAATGGGATTGCATTGGCTAGGAAGCCTGGAGAAGCACTACTACTGTGGAGTGAAATAAAGGAGAGATGTGGGATTGAAACGGGAATACACAAACCCAATCCTTCAGCTGCTCTCCCGCCGCTGAAACCAGACATAGGACTTTTGGAGACACTGGCTGATATATGTGTCAGGGCCGCGTTCTTTAGTAGAGCTTTGGAGATAATAGCTTTCATGGAGGAGAATGGGATATCGCCAAACAAGACCAAGTATAAGAGGATATACGTGGAGATGCATTCGCGGATGTTTACAAGCAAGCATGCTTCAAGGGCCAGGCAAGAACGGAGAAAGGATAGGAAAAGAGCAGCAGAGGCTTTCAAGTTTTGGTTGGGATTGCCTAATTCTTACTATGGAAGCGAATGGCATCTTGATTCTGAATATGATAATTCTGACTCTGCCTAAACCACATTATGCCAGAAGATGTTGGTGAGAAAAATATAGTCAGGAGATTGTAGCATGGACATGTATGTATCATATTGAATATACTAATATAGTACCAGTATATAACTAGTCCTTGAATTTTGTTTGAAGGGCGTGATACACTGATACATTAAATTAAATATTACAGAGTAACATTCTCTTACAGAATACTGGGAATTTGATAGAAAGAGAGCTAAATTGTAAATTTCCATAGCTAATAATCAACAACCTGGCTAGGTTTTCTGTCTGAGACTTTTTCCCCTAACAAAAAAAAGGATAATGGTGAACTTGTAGCATATGCATCTATTTTAAAACCTGCTAAGTTTGGGAGTGGTCAAAAGGAGCTAGCAAATGGTCGAGGCCAATTGCAAGGGAAAGGTGCTTTTAATGCATATTACCAGTGCGGTAAAACTATTCCCTTGATGATTGACTTCTTGAATAAGATGATGATAGGACCTGCATTGTATAAGATTATTATCATTGTTATTCTGCTTTCTCACTGTAAGCTCTAGTTTGCATTGCTTTCAATAGTGCTAGTGGAATGCATTGACTAACTGCTACTTCACTATTAAAAGACGCGCAGACAATTTAAAGAGCCATTTTGCTTTATTCCATCATACTCCAAAGCCAAAAAAGATGAAAATGCTGGTAAAAGGTGTACCTGATATTTCTTTGGGCCCTTCTTCAGCAAATAACCTGCAGTGTTAAGAGTGTCCAGAAAAGTATCAATATCAGGGACCCTTAAGCCAATGCTATCTGCCAAACTGTACAGTTCCTGAAGATGGTAATGAAGCACATGTGAGGCAAACTCCAGGAAGTAGACTTGGAAGTATTATTTTTTGGTTCAAGCAAACTTGAATTTATTGACAATAAATGTTGATTCAGGAAACTATAGTTGTTTAGAGGCTTACAGATATTGAAAAGCAATCCTTTTGATGCACTTCTGATTGCTTATTTAGTGCACCCAAAAATCTTTTCTTCTCCTTTTCTTTACTCATCCCTCCACTACGCCCAAAATCCACAAAACCATGCTCATCAACATACTTATCATATAAAGACTCCTTCATTATTTCAACAACATCCTGCACAGTACAGAGTCATTACAAATTTGAGATGCATATTACAGAAGGAACTATTATTGCAAAACACATGGAGCAGAAGGATTAAATGCTAATCTTAATGCTGCAAAATGGAATAACTCGATAGTTAGTTCTGACAAAATAATTTGTAGATGACATTTTTGATAATAGGAGGAAAAATAAGAAAAAAGAAGAATATGATGGCGATGATGATTATGATATGATGCAAGATCTACTGCAGGGACGATAAACTCACCAAAGCATCTTGCTCAGTTATTTGTTCTCTAAGATCAACCTTAGCTCGAGCTTGAGCCAACCTTACCAGACTTTCTAACTGCCTAGCAGTTATTGGTGTACTATCAGTAGATGTATTACGATCTCTCAGTTGCAGGTAAAAGTTCTTTAAGATAGCTGCAGCAGGTTCCGTCATCCTTTACCCAGTATAAAGAAAATAAACCAATGAGGTGGAAGACCCGGTAAACGAACCGAATCGAAGCAAATATTGAGATATTTGAATTTGTATTTGTTTAATTTTTTTGAATACAAATCCGAACCCAAATATGAGACGAATTAAAAATAAGATTTGAATTTGTATTTGATTAATATTCGAATGCTTAACGAATCCTAAACGAATATTTTAATAATTATACTCCGTAATTTATATAATGAACCAACATAGATTTTGAATAATTTAACTTACGATACTTCTTATACTATATCTAAAAACATTAATACATTTTCATCTTACACAAATTATATTTTATAAAATATATTTATTAAAATTCATATGTTTTAGATTTTCGTGTTACCTTAATTTGTTGAATTCTAGCTTAGTAATATAAATCATTTTAATACTATATTAGTTTGCTTGACTATTGATGTTGAAACATGGTTTGTGTGTATATACATATATTCGAATATCACCCGAATCGAATATACTCCTATTTGTATTTGTATTTGTTTAATATTCGAATCAAAACTAATATTTGAATTTGAATTTGTATTTGAATAATGTGAATTCGAATCATTATATTCGAATACAAATCCCAAATCGAATTAAAAGTATGAAATTTGTTTACATCCCGTGGAAGAAATCCCCAAATTCTTGTTATTTAGAAAAAGCTGAAACTACCTTGGAAAGACGTAAGCTCTTGCATAGGCAATGTATTTACGCAAAAGTGGACCAGGTAATGGAACAAAACCACAATCCTTCTTGGGGTCAAGTCTCAGTCTTGCGACTAAAGAATCATGCCCTACATTCAGGCTATTTTCCCCCGCATCAAAGGGTGCTGCAGAGTAATAAAGATGCAAAATAATGAATTCCTCATATTGGAATAATGTCGTAGCCAGAATCATATAAAAGGTGCTACCTGTGCATAATCGTTTTGTGGCCGGTGGATGCTCTGGAGCTTTAGCGTGAAGCTGCAAAAGAAAATTAATTCACAAATGGTTCTGATTAAAAGGGGAGGTAAGTAGAATTGCATCAACCCTCATATTACTTGCAATGATAGTTAGAAATGCATTTGGGAAATGATATTACTCTTCTTAACATATCCTAAAAAAGCACCCCAAGAATAAATAAGAAACACAAATGTGTTGTATTAAAAGCCACACTGCTACCAAAAATTATGTGATAAGAGAACCCCTCACTACATCCATATCAATGTAATTTTACATGAACCATTCACACCACTAGCAATCCACGGATGAGATCCTGGGGTTTGCTTTCAACAGCAATCCAGCATTGTCAATACAATGTACAACGAGCCTAAGAACTCGAGAGTTGAACATGTCTAAAAAACATATGATACTCTCCCGTTGCCCAAATTTATCTGTGCCTACTGTGAAAGTAAATTATGTAGTTGACATATATGCAGAGGAGAGGGAAACAAAACAATAGGAACCACACAATGCATTCTATAAATAGAAATAAACACGACAAAGTGGGACGGACCAAAAAGGAAAATAGACTATAAATTGGGATAAAGCAAATTATTTTATACATCCGGATATATGTGCATCCATGTTATTTTGTCATTTTTTGGGTGGCATGTTCAGATTTACTGTGAATAATAATGCTCATTTCATTTAAATTTATTTTGCTTTTTATTTGATTCATTTTTCAGGTTATGAATGTTCATTTGGTTCAATTTGATTATGAAAACAGACCTTGTTGCCCTGTATGACACACAAACACACACACACACACACATATGTATATATATCTGTGTGTGTGTGTGTGTCTCTTGATCTCTTAGTTCTTAATGAAAGAGGATGCAAGTATTTCAAATACAATGGGTCAATAGTGACACCATGGGTAACAGCAGTCACAATACTGACATCAAATGGATGATCTCGAGCTTCTAGAATTGCTACTTTACAATCCTACTTTATTTACAACTATATTCTACAACTACTTTCCATAAGTTTCAGAAACAAAGACACCTTTTGTAATTGCACATTCCATATTCACATTCATCTTACAAGACAACAAGGTCTGTTTTCTTTATTTCAAAGGTCGGGACCTTCAAAATCTAGAAAAGATTATTGACACTACAAAAAATTATGCATGAACAAATAACAACCCAGTAGAATCCCACAACAACAGAATCTGGGCATGGACAAATAACAAAGGTCCACACCATTTTTGTGGTAGACCTAAGGTCCACACCATTTTTGTGGACCTCAAATTAAGAAGCATTTTTGTTTTTTTTTGCAAAAACAAAAAGTATGCTTATGAAGATAGTAAACATTTGCTTACCACCATCATATGAAGGTCCACCTAAAACTATTTTGACCTTAGGTCCACCTAAAACAGTGTGGACCATAGGTCCACCATAGAATTTGGCATATTTTTAAAGAAGAAAATGAATTCCTATTTAGTGGTCAAGGAATATTCTTTGGCATTTTTAGCACAAAACGGATTAAAATAACTCACAGATATGATGTGCTTTGAGAGTCGTTTATCCAGTAGCTCGTCAGGTTTGTCAAGTAATATGAAGACCAGATCAAATCGCGAGAGTAAAGCACTACTCATTTTCAGGTTCTCGTTTACAGTTTTTGTACGGCTGCAAGGTTTTAGAAATATTAATGTCAATAACCTGTTTAGACAAAAAGTTAACCATGCATACAATGATCGCCTTTTTTATAGTTCGATTTTAATTCGTATTCCCAGAAACTATGTTTAACTTGAAAGTCAAAAGAAAATATCGATAACCATTATAAAAGAATAATCTGACAAAATATTTAGTCTTGTTTAATTGATGTAGTAACTTCATATTAATTCTGAAGCACAAGCCACTTTTTGTAAAGGATGTATTCCATCAAACATCACTATAATTTTACAGTATAAAACATAGCAGTCATCAGTCATCACTTATGCAGTCTGCAGAACACATTAATGATGACTTGATGAGAGAGAAACATTGCATGTTCAAAATTTCAAATGACTAGTGATTTAAAGAAAGACTAGTGATTTTAAAAGGACTAGTGATTCAAGCCAAGTTTAATCACAGTACTCATAATGACCACCAACAGGGTTTGCAGCTGCTAAAACAGATGTTCTTGCTGATAAACTTGCTACAAGTCCTGCCTTTGCAACAGAAACACACTGCTGCTCCATAGCTTCAAATAAGGCCTAAAACTATCCCATAGTTAAGTACTTATATTAATTACAGTAGCAAAACTACTAATAACAGTATGTATAGTGATGAAAAAACTAGTAAAACCTGATGTCCGGCAGACATTTTGTCAAACTCATCAATGCAGCATAATCCACGGTCTGCAAGAACCATTGCACCTGACAAACAAAATAATTATTGTTGATAGATGGATGGCAACTAATGATGCCTAAACAACCAAAATAAATCATAAAGAATGTAACTTAGATTATCCTTTGATTCAAGTACATGTTTTCCACATACATTGCAGATCACATGATCCCTGTTCCTTTTAATTAACATGTGGATGAATCATTATTTAACGGAAAAAGGAAGTGTCCACGATGATGATGATGTGATATGTCCCATTTTCAATACTTCCCCATCTTTTTCTACTATATAGAGTACACTTTACAGGACCCCTCTGTTTACAGAGGGCGCTTTCCAATGCATTTCAGAGTTTATCATACATCATTGATAATTATCGATTAGATCTGGAATAATATCTGCATTTGATCACCAGACATAAAGAGAATAAATATAACAGGGCATAAGAGAGATAGCTATTAGCTGGACGTGTGGGGTTATGCTTAATCTATGTAAATAATAAATTGGTATATATGTTGTCATTCTCTAAATTGGGATTACCAAGTTTTAGACACAAGAAAAACAATCCTCCTGATATTGGTTGAAACTGTAATATTTTTGGCATTCAGTGTTTCTCATAGTTCACACAAAACACACAAATAGAAGGTTTACCAGCTTCAAAGGCATAATCACTAGTCATTGGATCCTTCACCACAGCAACAGTGAGGCCAGCATTAGTTGTAGTATTACCACATACATATATGCCACGAGGAGAAACAGAAGCTGCTGCTTGGAGCAGTTGACTTTTACCCAGACCAGGATCACCTAATAATATGGAATTAAGAGAATCTAGCAATGCCTTCAATAATATATTTATATAATTGGGAAATAACGACATCCTTAGGATACAAGAACTAATATGCATACCAACTATTAGTAGATGGATGTCCCCCCTAACAGGGACCTTGTTCTGATCCATTGAATGCTTTTGTACACCACCAAACATAGCCAGGGTAATTCCCGCTGTTGATGGAAGGAGATCAAAATAACCAACAATGTAAATCAATGCAGGATCATCACTCATGTATCAACAGGTATGGAGTACCAAGTGGATAAAGAATAAAAAAATCTCACCTCATCTCTTGCTTAATATCAGTGGGGAATTAGGGTTTAATAAACAAAATAAGATATTCATGACCAGTATGCAATGATGGGAAAAAATTTGAAACCTACGAAAGAGTGATGAGCCACATAATAATGAAAGAAACCATGCCAACTCGTACACAAACCTTTGACAAGCTCATGTCCGTAGATTGAGGGGCAAATTGAATGAAGCAGTTGGCGAAAGATGTCAGAGCCATGCTCTTCAGAGAACTTTACAATGAACTCTAAATCCCTTGGAGAAAATGATAATAAGTCAAAAAACTCTGTGGATCTTGTAATGGATCTGTCAAGCGTATTCTCATGCATTGGTTGAGTCTTGGAATTTCTTATTGATACTGTTTCAAGATATAAATAGTAAAGCTCTTGATTCTTGCCTTTTGACTTTCCTGAAACAGTAGCTTATGCGATTAGTCCCTGTCTGAAATAGTTCATACAGAAAGTTTGCTTAACATCAAGTAAAAGACACCATCACAAATTTAACTTTAGCTGGTATTGTCACAAATTATCAATGTTTAGATATAAGAACTCAATCTTTAACTAGATCTGCATCTAGAGCATACTATATACAACACAATAGTTCATTTGAAGTAAATAAGGTGTTCAAGAAAATACCCCCTCCGATGTCCATGTAGTTGTTAATCACTCTAACAATACCCGTTACTGTCACAATGTCTCCAGGAATGCAAGCATCTACAAGATCTTCCGTTAATTCACATTCAACTGTGCGTGGAACACGTCCTTCCTCATGATGTCCAGATCTCAGCAGCTCCTGAATTCTGGAATGGAGATATTATTATACATATATGAAAAGAGGTTCTGCTTTTTAGCTTTATTATGAGGAACAAAACTACAGAAGTGAGCATACCTTATCTTCTGAAAGTCTATGGGTTGTGCACTGGATCTGATTGGTGTAAAGTTCCTACTTTTGCAACCATGCACTTCACATATTGAGGGGGGTGAAAATTTTCCATCTGGAAAGTCACGGTCAATGTTGGTTCCACATTTTTTGCAGGCAAAGCTCATTTTAATAACCAAAGGCCTAACTGTGCTAACTTTTACCACTGTACCACGCACAGAAGCAAGCCTGTCTGCCATGTGAACATAGAATGTCATTATGTCAATATTAGTGCAACATCAGTTTGGAGTTTTCATGACATATAACTTTGAAACCAATATGTTTAGTATAAAATTGAAAACTTACCAATATATGCTGCTTTTAGGTTCTTCAGTGCAATCACTTGAGGGTAATTATGCAGACGAATATTTATCTTTGCACAGTCATCAAACATTTCCTTCCCCCATTCCATGAACATAACCTGCTGAACTTATAAACTTAATTAATCATGCATATGGGATTGACATCCATGAAAGAGTGGAGTCCTGATAGCATCATACCTTGTGCAATGCAGCACTCATACATAACAGAGCTTCTTTTGGTCTATCATCTAAGGTCATATAAAATTTTCTGATTTTGCAGACGTTCTGAAACTGCTCAAAATCAAGTGGCAAAAATAATATGCCATCATCATCTTTGACCTACAAACATTGAAGACGACAAACAACTGAAACAAACAGAGAAGATCTTCGTTGTGTATCATAATTAGCAATCTCAATGTGACCCCACTATAGTTATGTTTTTTTCTACAACAAAAGTATTTAAAGAATCAAACAAGCTCAATAGTACACTGAAATTGCATTTCTTTCCATTCTCATAATGGAAACTCTTCACTACTCAAAATCCTCATTCAGTGAGTCCACACATAAACAGTTTCACTACAAAACTCACAAATTTCACAATAACAACAACCCAGTACAATTCTAACTGTGTTGGAGTTTGGGGGCAAAATGTACGCAGTCTTACCCTATAACATACGGAGTACATAGAGTCTATTGGGGGCAAAATGTACGCAGTCTTATCCTATAACATACGGAGTACATAGAGTCTATTACCAATAGACATTGATGCATTATTGCATTAAATACTCAAAACTTCATTGAAATTTTGAAGCAAATGAAGTTTAATGCGTCATTTTTATTTAATCTTTTATTTATCCGGAACAAAAACATTGACACTATTTTAGCTACATTTGCAATGAAGCTAAAAGTGACAAAAACAACAACAAAACCAGTAAAATACCATAAAAAGTGTGCAAGGAGATCTTACCCCTGCTCAAATATAAATGGAGCTTACCAATTTTTTTATAAAAGTAAATACCCATCAAGCATATGAAAAAGGAACAGATATTACTAAAGTATGAGACATTTGCAGTAATACATAAAAAAAGGAATTAAAAGAAATAATGATTTTTAGGATATATTTATGAAAGAAATGTTGAAGAGACCTGAGAAACAAAGTATTCTCCTTCTTTAGAAAAGAATTCAGCAAGATCGGATGCGAGTTCGAATTTGAACTTGGAATCCTCCAGAGTAAAGTCGATTTTCCGAAAATATACGCCTAAAAACTTAGCGATGCCACTTGCAAAAGAAACTGTCTGGCGATTGCGATTCTCGGTGCTCGCAATCTCGCCGTACATGGCGACTTCCGGCGGCGAGTCAGGACTGAGGAACAGATTAATTGAAGTCGTTCTGAGCAATGGTCCGTTCAGTTTTCTGGCGGGAGAATGAAATTGGCAGTCGGCTCTTGTGAGAATTTGCCTCCGGACCCTGGTACAGGACCAGCCTTTTTCTAAATTTGTCAAAAGTGTTATGGAGAGGCTTGATGAGCTGATAGTGTGTCCAAAAGTGTTACTTGAATTCCAATATCATGGGAATCTTGATGTTAATAGAAATACAATCATGCTACCCGCCTAAAGTTATCTGCACGGTTTGGGACTTTGGGCATTGAGTTCGGGTATCAGATTGGGCAAAGACGAAGTTGATCCGATTGGGCAAAAGGGTTTTTGGTTGAGCTAATGTGTCTTTGGTACTCGATGCAAACTTTATGTCAAATCAAAATAAATAAATGGGTAATGTATTGATATGGAACCACGTGTGTAGTAATCTTGGTACGTGGCTCTATGCAAACTTTATATCAAATCAAAATAAATAAATTGGTAGTGTATTGATATGTAACAGCGTGCGTAGTAATGTTGGTGCATGGCTCGATGCAAACTTTACGTCAAATCAAAATAAATAAATGGGCAGTGAATTGCTACGGAACCGCGTGCATAGTAAATTTGGTGCATGACTCAATACAAATTTTATTTCAAATCAAAATAAATAAATGGGTAGTAAATTGCTATAGAACCGTGTGCGTAGTAATCTTGGTACGTGGCTCGATGTAAACTTTACATAAAATCAAAATAAATAAATAGGTAGTGTATTGATATGTAACCGTGTGCGTAGTAATATTTATGTGTGGCTCGATGCAAACTTTATGTCAAATTAAAATAAATAAATGGGTAGTAAATTACTATGGAATCGCGTGTGTAGTAAAGTTGGTGCGTGACTCGAAACAAATTTTATGTCAAATCAAAATAAATAAATAAATGGGTAGTGTATTGATATTGAACCGCGTGCGAAGTAATGTTGATGCGTGGATCGATGCAAACTTTATGTCAAATCAAAATAAACAAATGAGTAGTGTATTGCAATGGAACCGCGTGCGTAGTAAAATTGATGTGTGACTTCATGCATACTTTATGTCAAATCATATTAAATAAATGGATAGTGTATTGATATGGAACCACATGTATAGTAATGTTGGCACGTTGCTCGATGCAAACTTTATGGTAAATCAAAATAAATAAGTGGATATTGTTTTGTTATGGAACTGTGTGCATAGTAAAGTTGGTGTGTGACTCCATGCAAACTTTATGTCAAGTCAAAAAATTAAATGGGTAGTGTTTTGATACTGGCTCTGGCCGATGGTCCACTTCTCGCCAACCTATCTCAATACTGGCGCTTGGTTGGTCGCTTAATCTACCTCACCATAACACGGCCAGACCTTACCTATGTTGTTCATATCTTATCTCAATTCATGGCCGGTCCACGTCGTGAACATTGGGATGCCGCCATTCATACTCTCTGGTAGATCAAAGCTTGGCAAGGAAAAGGCCTTTTTCTCTCGGTCACAGATTGTCTTCAGCTCATTGGTTTTTGTGATTCCTATTGGGTAAGTTGTCCCCTAACTCGTCGCTCATTCTTGGGCTACTTTATTTGTTAAGGAGAGTCACCTATATCATGGCACACAAAGAAACAAAAAATAGTGGCCCGCTCATCGGCAGAGTCCATATATCAAGCTATGGCAACCATTGTATATGAATTAAAATGACTGCGTATTTTTTTTCTCGCTTGATGAACGGCATCCTACTCTAATGGCGCTATTATGTGATAATCAAGGTGTCATACACATCGTAACTAATCCCGTGTTTCATGAACGCACCAAGCACATTGAAATTGGTTGTCATTTTATCAAAGACGAAATTCAGCGCGGCATTTTATGTACAGCACCTGTAGCTTCGGCCGATCAACCTATAGATATTTTTACTTAGCCTCATGGTGTTGGCCCATTTACTCATTTACTGTCCAAGCTAAGCATGCGGAATCCCCATGCTCCATCTTGAGGGGGGTGTTATGTGTGACGCACGCGTTCGATGCAAGAAAAGGACTCTAAGTCCTAATTAGGTTTTGTTTTCTTAGCAAATAGTGTTTCCTTGTTTATAGATTTCTTTTCCTAGTTAGACTTATAAATTTTCTTTCCTATATATTCAAGGGAAGATCTTTTGTAAACTCAAGCTGTAACGCCCCAAAACATACCCTAGAATTATTAATGAATAAATAACCAATTAATCAAATTTGTTTTGATTAAAATAAATTATTGTTGGGCTTTGGGCCAAATGTGTTCTGACATCCAATATCAAAATCTGGATAAGTCTCATAGAGATAAATTCAGTATGTGGACTATTTGTGTGGTCTTGATTAGGATCATGAGTACAGACCCAAATCAAGAGTAAATAAAGAATTTGTTTAGAATGTAAATATTGAAATGATTTCTTAAAATAAATCATGAGAATAATTGATATGAATTAAATGAGAGAACCTTTTATGAGAAAGGTAAATTAAACCATTTTGACTCTGTCAAATTCAAACACCTAAAAATATGATGTCGGAAAAAGTATTACAAATAAATATAAAAATTATATAGTTGGATAATAGAGTTTATATGTTCGATCGCAATGGTACAAACAGAATTCGATTCGGAGAAAGTTGAACCAAAAAGTGTACCTCGACTGGAACTAAAAATTGGTCCCAATCAGGGACACTGTGCGAACGGCGCCTCCTCCTCCACTCAGCCGATTCCTACGTAGAAGCAGCTCAGCATTGTCCTCTTCCCCTTCTCTTCTTCTATATAAGGATACTCCATCCTTATCAATTTTGCATCAATCTTCTGGAAAATTATACCATTGTGTTCATAAGAGTGAAGGGAGCAGTCTGGTGTTGTTGGTTGCCGCCGAAGTTGCTGGAGTGGGGAGTAATCATCGCCGGAAGTTTCGCCAGAAAATCTTCAAAACCTCCATTAAGCTTCGAGGTAAGCCCGTAGATATATCTAGTGACTAGAATGTTCATATAGATCGTTTCTACGTTCATAAACGGTCGTTTGGTTGAATTTTGTGTTTGACATGCTTGAAGAACCAAGAATCATAACCATGAAATTGATGTTAAAACTATGAATTAGTGATGCCAAAATGATGTATGAACCTTGGAGTACATTTCTATATAGTTTCGTTGAAGTTCGATAACTAAAAACGGTATTTTCCGAAATTGGACCCGAACGAAGAAGAAGATGAACAGTGGCTGAAACACCACTGTCTGGATCGATCTGGAGGGCTGAATCGATCCCCCGAATTTCTGATCTGAAAATTTGTCTGAAAATACTATTTTTGAGCCCTAAAATCCTATTTTTGATACCAATTGATTATGATTATTTTAAGGATGATTCTTTACAATAAAAATGATGTTTTTAACAAATAAAAATGTTATCTGATGCATGACGGTTAGTAGGTTGTGTGTTCGAAACCCATTAGTAACAATTTTTGAGACATTTGTGCAAAAAAAAACTGGTCACTGGTTAAACCGAACTGGTTCTACCCGGTTCTCGCCGGTTCGTGCCGGTTTGGTGCACCTACCGGTCTTTGGGGCTGGACCGGACCGGTTTGACCCCCGGTTCGCCAGTTCCCGATTCCGGTTTGGTCCGGTTTTTAAAACTCTGTCTAGAACTAATTTGGAAATTTTCACTTTTTCTTGTTTAGTTAGTGCATTTCTCCAAATAAGAAAAACCGCTCCATTTGTTCATTCAAAAAATTTCCCGTTAGCGCTCTGACTGCTAACTGCTGAGCATATCTCACCTCTCTTTCTTCCTGCACTTTTGTAGTGCGCATACCTTTTCCCTTCAATCCCTAGCCCCCCTACTGCAAATAATCTTCCACATTGAAGTTGCAGGCCCGTCGGCAAGCGAATCAATTGCTTTATATGTCAATGGCGGAAGGCGAGCACATAGATCTCGAGATCAAGGGGCTTAGTCTCATCGGCGATGACGCATCTGAGAACGATGATTTCCTTTTCACCCTGTCCCCTTCGCCGCAGCTCAGGCCGACCGGTACCCTAGAACTTCACGTTTCATGTCTTATGTTTTTTCAGTCTCTATTTACTTCTGTTTCCGATCTAGCTGTTTGATGATACGCCAGAGTTGGGTTCTACCGTCAGACCTAACCCTACTGTTTTGAATTAGTATATCATAGAAAGGGAAAGCTGTATGAGCTTTAAGAAAATCCTTTTTTCCCGTTTAGAAGGATTTGATTGACCTAATGGTGGGTCGGGAAGGAAAGGATGTCACCAAAATGTCTGATCCTTTTTCTACCACTATGTAGCTTTATTAATCTGAATTGATTAGTTATTTGGGTATGAATGCGAATTGATTATTTTAGCTGCTAATCTGTGAAGTGATACTAATCTAAACATGCTTTTGTATGGCATTGAGTGCAGAATTACTTTGCTTCTAGAATCCCGGTGCATTTCAGCTTTGATTAATATCCTGTTTTGTTTGTATTCTTTTCCTCCGGTTATAGACCCTTGCATCTGAATTTGTGTGACAGTGGAGAGAAACTTTTTGTCTCAGATAATTGCAAGGATTTGAACTCAGAATTGTCCAGAACTGCGTATGTTCAAGAAGAAAAGGATATAATCAATAACGGTAACCAGCCCGACATGTTCCCTGAACTACATGTATCAGTGGAGCCAGAAAGAAGCAGAAGGAAAGGAAACTTGAATTTACGCAAGAGCCTAGCATGGGACGCTGCTTTCTTTACAGATGCAGGTATTTCTTTACTTCTTTTGTTTTGTGTGCCCTCAGAAAAAAATCAATTTCCCTCCGCTTCACTCAGACTACACTTCTATTTTTATGTTATGTTTTTTTCATTACTCTCGCAATCAAAATTGTCGTTCATTCTGACCCGCTTCATTTCCAGGCGTTCTAGATCCAGAAGAGTTATCTTCCATGGTCAAGGGAGCTGAAAAAAACACACTGCCTATGATTGATGAGAATGTTGATAAATCTACTGATACATTATCAACTCTAGAAAGTGATAATGTGCCTCTCGAACATCTTGAGGCTGAGTTGTTTGCAGACATTAGAGCATCAATACAGAGATCCAACAAAACCTCTGGTTCCAGGAAAGAAACATCTCCTGAGGCAGACCCTGGCAAGTCACAATATACTTTTTCCTAGTCAGTGTCTTGTTCAATTGTTGGAAACCTCACTATTAAGTAATAGGGTCTGAACTATTGCTTTCTGTACTTTTCTTTTCACAGCTTCAAAAAAGGCAGATGCTGCTTCAAGAAATATGGTAAGACAAACTAAACCAAGTGGACATTTGAAGTCACATGTTATCTTATTAATAACTTTTGTACTCTATAGTATCCAGTAGCTTGTCAATGACAGCTATAATCTGAAAAATTTCAGCCGAAGCCTAAACTCCTTCCTAAAAGAATCACTGGGACACACACACTGGGGATGCCAAAGGGCCAGCAGAAACCCACTGAGGGAATACAAGGCTCTAGGAAAGGTGTAAAACCGGACATTCCACGTGCTACAAAGGCATGTACAGTTCTATTTATTTGTAGATGATTGGAACTTTAATATGCACCAATCATAAATTCACATCTGCTTTTGCCCTTCTTGTTTTATGGATTTTCTTTAATAGAATGTCTGAGTTTCCATTGTTTCACAATATCTTTTGAAATATCTCAAACAAAAAATAATTGTCACTCTCGACTTTGGTTTAGCTCATGTTATTTTCTATGTTAATGAAGAGTGTCACCACTGTCGCCAAATCTGGGGACTCGACATCATCATCTGCTAAGCTACCAAAAATGATGTGTAAGGCCAATCCCATCCCGGCACCAATGGCAAAAAGGGCTTCTTTCAGTGCTAATCAAATTAAAATTGATCATGACAGTTCAAAAACAAATACTGGTAAGAAAACAGATTTCTAATTCTGCTTACTTTTACTTCAAACGATATACGGAGTATCATGTTTGCTTCAGAAGTCGCAGTGTCTAGATTGGACTCTTTATGTATCTTAGTTTTTCATTGTCATCTTATTATTACTAACCATGGACAAATTGATGGAAACTGGCAGTCTCTGGTAAAGGAATGCAACCGTCGAAAACAATTGACTCGAGTAATGCCACCAAGGTGTTACCAAAACCTACATTGCCTTCCAAGTCCGCATCTATGAGATTTTCAGCTGCAACCAAGATGCTGTCCTCAAGATCTTCAAGTGATAGTACTACTGGAAGTACTTCATCTGACAAGGCAGGAAAACCTGCTTTACCTGCTTCCAGAAGGAAGGTGCTTACAAAACAGCCTGTTAGTCAACCTTCTTCTGGATCAACACTAAAAACTCCATCAAAGGCCCCATCGAAGAGCAAAGCGTCGACTGGAAATTCTGCAGTCTCAGCTTATATTATGTCTTCGAAGATCATCAATTCAAGCATATCTCCTGCTAGTTCTATAAGTGAGTGGTCATCTGTTTCAGCATCATCATCATCATGTTCTAACCTCAATACCAGGTCAAATAAGTCGAGGGCTAGTTTTGATACTAGTTCTTGTAGATCTTTGGAGAGTGTTGTTACTAGTCAGGACATCACAAACTGGTCTAGTTCTCAGATCTCAGAAAAACCATATCATGTAACATCGCCGAAAGAAAATCCAATGAATGTTCCAACAAATCCACTAATGAGACCATCAGGCCTGCGGATGCCATCCCCGAAAATTGGTTTCTTTGATGGGGTCAGTTTTTTTTTCATTCAACTTGTACCTCCTATTCAAAATTATGGATCAATGTAGGAACAATAGTGAGATCATGATCTGTTATCCTTCATTTTGAATAAATGTTTGCAGGCTAAGTCAGTTCGCACACCCAATGGGACTAGTATGCATTGCCATCCCAAACAAAGCGCTGCAATGCCCAAAATTGGGAAGGCCACTCAACGCAGTCCAAGTGGGAGGTCAGATATGAAATCCAACAAGGTCACTTTATTGAATGCCATTGATGATCCAACATATAAGAAATGCTTTCCCAGCTTTGCTCTAGAAGTTCATCATAAGCCAAAAGAAGAAACAATGGAACGTGCACTAGATGATGTACTATTGGATGCAGTTAATAGTCATGGTGGAGACAAAGACATTCTAAAGAATGAAATGTGTGAAAATGGAAATGTGAAGGCCAACGTGATTGACATCAAGGCCATTGAAGAGAAGACTTCTCATTCACTCACAATGAACACTGAAACCATGATAACTGGGCTTGAAGCTAGTAGGATACCATTTGCTGACAGGAACTCTGGAAATGGTAATTTTCTTGATTCCTCTCTGGACGCACCCTCCTGGAATTGATTACAGAGAAAACAATAATTTATAAATCATTTGGAATTGGAGTCTCCCCTACCCCTACTAGTTCCATGTCAATGTAGCTTGCTCCTATCTGTTTAGATGTACTGTGTTAGAGAGAGAGAGAGAGAGAGAGAGAGAGAGAGAGAGAGAGAGAGAGAGAGAGAGAGATCATGCATGTATGTTATAAGTTATAACAAGTCTGTGATTTGCATTTCTTTCATGCTTCCTCTCTGACAGTGATGACAATTTGTTGAAGGACATCTGATATCTTAGTAGTGCTTAATTGGTTATCCATAAAGTACCAAATATAATACTCCATTTGTCCCAAATTATAAGTGTTATTTTGAATTTGGCGAAGTTAGAAAGCATTCCGGATTACAAAATTTGACTGAATTGAATTGTTGATGTTTTTTGGTGCTTCAAGATTTCGCACCTTGATCGGGGATGGGGAAAGGAGAGGAAAATTGTACCATAAAGATGCAATTTGCGTATCTTACAAATTTGACAAAAATGCAATTTGCGTAATTCAAAAATTTGACAAGGACAAATGACAATAAGAGAAACTACAAAATCGTTTGGTTGGTTATAGAATAAGACCATGTTCTCTTCACTTGATTTGATTGACTCTGATCTAATTAGAATAAGTATTTATATGATCTGATTTAATCTGATCTGAATCTAGTTATATTTAAAGTTATTTTTGATCTGATCTGTTTAATCTGATTCTAATAAGAATAAGTAATAAGCAAAAAAATAAGTTGAAGACAACATGACCTTAATTATAGAAGAGTGCCTTCACACTAATTTTCTACTTTGTAATCCCTAGCTTTTATTTGAACTTCTCCCATGGCTTGAGCGGAAACAAGTTCACTCTCCTAAGATTCATGGGAAAGTTCACATAGGTTCGAGCCCCAACAGAGGTAGGAGCATTGACTCTTTGTGCATCGTTAGGCTGAGAATAGTATGAAGAGATACTACTTTGTTATAGAGTCGATAGCATTTAAAAAAACTTTTATTTGAGGATGGATGGAGTATTTACTAATCTTTTATTTCTTTTTATACTTTTCTCGATCCAATTTTGATCTTTTCACTTCTTTTTAAAGATTTCTTTCGTTAACCTTCACCTTTATTTTTAAGAACAAATTCAATACCTTAACCCCCACCTCCCCCTAGAAATTGTCTCAATGCACAAAGATGAATTCTTCTTTCTCAATTTATTTTCGTTAATCATTTATCATAATAACATAATCGTATAACCTTTGGTTTGTTTTTGCAGAGAATAAAACTTTTACAAAAAATTTTAAATATATAAATTTTATATCAATATTTGAAATCATAAGAATCTATCAGTTGGGGAGTCGGGTTAGACATCATAAGAGGATGAACCTCGTCCCCAGAATCACCCCGACACTAACCTAAAATGAAACAAATTGAGCTTTAAACTAAAAAAACCTTTATAAATTCAATAGTGAGTAAGATTACATGTAAAGATCCGACACTATGCATGACTTTTGAAAGAAGTCAAACTTCAATATTATCCTCTTTTGCACACCAACTAAGCTGCAATTACACACCATAAGTATCATAAGTTCAGATCAAACGCCAGTCTTTACCACTCGTCCCCACACGACTTTTCTCCTTTGTTTCTGTTGAATAGAGAGAAGAGGGCCAGTGCCACAACGGAGACGAGAAGTTTGTGCACGCATTGACGACGATGAATTTTGCTAGCTCCACCAACATGTATGGATATTCCACAGTTAATATTTTCCGAGATGAGATTTCTTATAAGCCTTATCAGCCCACCTCTGTCTTCTACGGTGGTCCATCAGCTTGCGTGCAGCTTCCATACCTCGTGTCTTCCTGTGGGATTATAAATAAAATGTATACTATGAGTACTTCAGACAGTTAAACAGAAATGTGTGAGCTGGGATTTGGGAGAATCAAATGATAAAATTGGCTACATCCAGATCGCAAAGGATCTGAAGTATAATCTGAAGTGGAAAACTCTACAATGATTGCTCATGACCTAAGTCTCCTCTTGAAAAAATTGTGCTCCATAAAACCTACACCCTTAATCATCATTCAGTGAAACTAAATCAACCAAAAGCTTACGAAATAGTCATCCCCTATTACCCAATGTTACACATTAGACAAATAAATCACTGCTTATCTTACTCCAAATTGAGCTAATCTTCTTGGCCACAAAATATAAGAAATAAGTTGCATATTTGCACCGGAGTATAACAATAAGAGCGATGTTACCAAAGTAACTATATTCGCAGGTGTCTTTTAGGGCTAGCAACATTGATCTCAACTCAACCATGAAAAGACATATACTAACCTAGAATTAGTCAAGAAAGCTAAAAGCATGATATGGAACCAAAACAAAAACTTACTTCATAAAATACGAAGTACTTACCTATTCATCATAACAACATAAAAGCTACATGTAGTTGTAGTTTCTTTGAAGAGAGTAAATCTTACAATGATGTTTCTCCAATCATTAAGTTCATAGACTTGCATCTCTCTTGTCGAATTGCATTCCTACCAATATACCAAACAATTTCATGAGTCAATAGAAACATTAAGTTTATGCGAAAGAAAAGTTCTATAAGAATGAAAAAAACTTGATGAAGGACATACATTGAAGATTGAAGCTATACACCTTAGTAATAAACCTCAAGGATATACACATCCTAGTAATAAGTCATAACTATTTCCTTGAATTTCTCTTTTTCTTTCCAATGAACTCTCCTCATTCCTACTTATGATATATGAAGAATATAATGGGGCTTTAGAATTCATCCATCACTACTAATCTTCTCAGATTAATTTAAACCTGAGTTAGGAAATGGGACCCAAAATTACAGGGCATTTCTTATCTTCTCAGATTATCGAAATAATATTTGATTATCCAAAGCCAGTAGCCTACACAAAATAGACGCACAAATGGTTAATGCACTGAATTTCACTGCAAGAATGTTTATTTTGAGGTCTACAAACAACTATCAACACCAAATATTTGGTAGTATTCCAAATTAGTATGCTTATGATACGATACGCTGATGGTAATGGGGCTAATTTCCTTCCAATAGTACTCCATATGCTCATACAACTCAACTAAAAAACAAATGAAGAAAATAACAAACGTTGGGGAAAACTGAATTATAAGAATATCTACTAAATAATTCATAATATGACATTTCCAGTCTTTTTGGTTCGCGTCATATCTGGATAGCGAATTTGCTTGAAACTTTTATGAAACATATCAAAACATACCTCACTAAATATATGGTTATTCCACAATTTGGAGTTGTTCTTGCATTCAACATAGAGCAATATTAGGTTCAAAACCTAACAACAGAAGAGGGGAGCCTCAAGTTCATACAAATAAAAAATTACATAAAACAACATAAACTCAACCGCATTATGTTTAATTAATTCTTCTGTATAATCAAAGTAGATTTCTTCAATTGGTCTGGACAGAGGGTGTATCAGAGGATACAGAAAACGATAACTAAACAAATCAATTATCATTCATATTTTATTTTCTGTATATTCCATTGAATCTATTCAATCACAAACCTTGTTACTATTCCTACGAATAATGAACAAACAGGAAATGAAAGTGAAAGAAAAGACAAAGAGTTTCAATTTTCGAAGGAACACTTAAGAAAAGACAGAGTTTCAATTTTCGAAGGAACACTTAAGAAAGGTTTTAAACAAAAAAAAAACATTACCTCAAGTGTGGATAGATCAAGATTTTAGAAAAATGAACATATTCATATGCTATAAATTGCTTATGTAGTACTGCTTCCAAAGCCTGTCCAAATTTAATGTCTAAATAATTGAGAACTGAACCATTAGATTTCCTTCTATTGAGAAAACAAAATCTGTTGGAGAAAGGTCAATCTTTCTTTTAGATTCTATGAAATGCCAAGGTAAACAATGAGAATCTTTTGTTTTGAGTGTCACTTGAATACTTGATTCTTGATTCTCGGCTCCAGAAAAGAACCAAGAAAATGTCTTGCACCTGAAAAAAGCAATAAAATTTGGGGATCAACCCAGCTTTCTGGTGCACTTCCTAACTTATCTACAACACAAAAAAGTTACCTGGAATTTGATTTGTTGAGGCAAAGATGGATAAAAATTGGTTTGTGGACAAACCAACTTGGAGATCCCACAAAGCATGATAAATTCTACTCCGTAGTTGCTTTTGCTTTTTCTTGCAGACATGGCACTATAATATTCTTAGAATATAACTCAAACATTCACTAAAACAAAATTGAAATTAACAAAAAATTATTTATTATTGGATAATGAAATTTATGAAAATAAAATTTAATAAAAAAACAATATAATAAAAAAATTAGGATTGGAACTTAAACTCCTGGCCGTTCTTCCTTCAATGGTGTCACACAAAGCCGTCCACAATCAACGATCAAATCGCAAGTCATCATCGTCGAGTAGCAAAGCTTAATCGGCCGATCAGATAAATTTAATTCAAATCCCAAGTCATCGTCGAGTATCGAAGTCGTCCACAGTATTGCACCATCGCCGTCCGATCAGAAACCAAATTCGCTGCAACTCTTCAGCCGACCAGATGCTTTTGTGCCGCCCCATAGCCGCCTTCATCTATCTGCTTCATTTGTAGCGGCTCTTAATGATAGATGATGAATTGATAATCAAGCGCAGAGAAAAGGAGAAGACGTGGGAAGAAAAGGGGCTAAATAATAGGCTACAGTTGCAACTGGTAGGAAAACTGACCGGATGGTTACTGTTCATTTGGGCGGCAAAATTTTCCCTATTGTAAATAGGGAGATTAATAAATTTTAATCACCAATTAAATAAAAATAATAATATATATTGATAAAAAAAGTATTTTATAATATTGAATTTATAAAATGTTTTTCAAGATATTATTTTATCCAATTCATATGCTTTGTACCATATAATTTTTACTTAATTCAAGGTCAAAGATTGAATGTGATTGACTACAAAGAGTTAAAAGTATACAAATACTCAAGCGCAAAGATAGCAATTCAGTTACAAACTTAGAGATATGCAATTTCTACTCAACTCGATAAATATTATTTCATCTGGTCCGCTTTAAAAGATAAAAACTCGAATAAGTGTGAATGATGGATGCATTAGCTAATGGAACATATCGATGCTGGTGAAGCTCTTATTCGCTCATTACCCTATCCATCACCAGACTCATCCATAATTTGCAACGAATAATATAATCATATCATATCTTAAACACTTACATATGTGTCATTTCAAATAAAAAAACCGACTTAATGCAACATAGTTTTACTTGAACTTCAATATTTTTTATACATAGAAATAGATATTATTAACATTATTTACAACATTTGTTTAATCTTTATTTCTTTTGATAATGCACACATGCATGTGGTACTTACTATCTTTATCGATGTAAATAATTAAATATAGAAGGAGAAGTGTGCCCTACTAAAAAAAACCATGGATAGGGACATAAACATCAATAAACTAATATTTCATTATTATTTTTATTCATAAAATAATTGACTTTTACATATATTTTATAAAATGCAATACGATGAATAGTAAAAAAATAAATGTGTGAGATCAAGAATTGCTGAAAAATATTTCAAGACTATCTTATGAAAATTTTGTGAAGGTGATTGGTCATTTTTTAATTGTGTTTACGATTTTATGAGACTTTTATATATTTTATTGTTATATATATTATTATTCTTTCCTTTATATTAATCTAATGAAATGTTATTAATTAAAAATAGTATTATTTTCACCCCTTTTGCCCGTTGATTATGGATGGATTGAATGGTACATATTGTATGTAAGAGATCATGAATGGATCAAGTGATGAATAGAGAGTGAATATATGGATGAGGGTGAAGCTTTACATGATCTATACCCGACCCATTGACATCCTTATAATGCCGCCACAGCTGCCGAGGTCACGACGAGCTTGGGCAATTGACTAAAAACATAATGAACTTCATCCTAGATTCTCTGATTTGAGAAGTAAATAAAAGGGAATATTGTAATCAAAATAGAGACAGATGGAATACTAACTAATACTCCATCCGTTCCACAAAACCCTTCCGGTTTTGAAATAAGGAAAGTATAATTTTGGTTGACTTTCCAATTTTGCTCCTAATATGATGGGAAAAAGTAAGATGTGATAGTTTGGTTATTAGTGAAAAAGTATAATGTGATAGGTAGGGTATGAAAAAGTAGGGGTAAAAGTGGGTTTTAATAGAAAGTGGAAGTGTTTTGTGGAAAGCAAAAAAAAGAAAGAGGAAGAGTTTTGTGGAACGGAGAGAGTATATAAATAGTAAAATTTGTCTCTAATACATGCAATGACTCTATGCTACTCCCTCCGACCGAAAATATTCTTACCATTTGACTTTTTACGGTATCTAAGATTGTACTTTGACCACTAATATCTTTATTTGTGTATGAATATATTTTATAAAAATTTGATATTTAAAAACTATATTTCAAAATGAATATAACCATATTAAAGTTATATCGTAATACAATGTATTTTTCCACATATCATAGTCAAAGTTTATAAACTTTGACCAAAAAAAGTTAAATGGAAAAAACATCAGACAATGTTGTTGCCCGAAATCGAATCAACTACAATGACCCAGACAAAAAGGATAAACCTCGTCAAAGTCCTTAGGCGGGCCTGGTAGGAAGGCTCTCGCCGTGTTTGGTCTTCCTTTTTGGGAAGATCGGAAGAACAGCGGAACAATTTAATCTTTCCTTAGGGTCCGTTTAGTATACGGAATTGATAGAATTGGAATTAAATTGGAATTGAAATTCCATGGGATTCAATTCCATAGAATTGAATTCACCAATTCCAATTCATTTTTTGCACTATCACTTCGAAATCCACATAATTTTTGTGCTACCAAACATCAGAATTGGAATTAAAGTCCTCAATTCCAATTCCATAGTTTGAATTCTGTGTACCAAATGGGGCCTTAGGGTCCGTTTGATATAAGGAATAGGTGGAATTGGAATTAAATTGGAATTATAATTTCATGTGATTCAATTCCATATAATTGAATTCTGTCAATTTCAATTCATTTTTTGCACTATCAATTCCAAATCTACATAATTTTTGTGTTACCAAACACTAGAATTGGAATTGAAGTCCCCAATTCCAATTCCATAGTTTGAATTCCATGTACCAAATGGGGCCTTATTTCTTTTCTAAATCATCCATCCACTTATTTTTGTTTACACTACATTTGGTTCAAAGAATTAAGAAGGAAAAAAAGAAAATCATTTTTCTCTCATTTTCCTCACCAAAATGGAAGAAATTTAATTTTCTCCCATTTTAGTATATTTTACCTTTTCATTTTCTATTCTATTCACTTTTCTTTTGTTTTCCTCTGTAACTGAACAACAACAAGAACTATTTTCCATCTTAAGTTTTTTTTCTTTTCCCTTTCAAATTTATTAAACCAAACATAGTGTTAGAGAATTCAACGTTTCTGAGAGGAATCTATGAAAATTCCAAAAGACTAAGCATGATTGCATTGCTCATTACATCAAATTACTTAAAGATTGTTGTCTTGTTACCATAGAGAGCTGTAATTGGGAGGAAATGATGAGGCATTGCACAGACCCACCAAGCTGTTATTTAATTAACATAATAAACAGAAAAAATTCCATGAAAAAAAAAACAGAACAAAAGAAAAACAGCTACAGCTCTCACAACTATCTTCTACTAAGCCAAATAGCTATACAAAAGTCTTCTGGTGTTATTCTGATCTTTTGATAGATCCCCCCCTGTCATTACCCAAAAAAGAGAGTTATATTCAGATAGATATTTGCCAGTTAAAATGCAAGTAGAATGAGAGAAGAAATCAATTCGAACCCGATGGGGAGAAGCTAAGTGAGCTATTTTTGCCCCTTCTTCAACAAAACTCCAATCTTCTTGAGCATGGTGTTGCCATTCTTCTTCTTGGGGGAGGAGGAGTCGTCTTCGGCCTCCTCTGAGAAGGGGGAACCCAACCTCCCTCCAATTGTGGAATGGTAGTCCATCGAACCCGTCCTCCCCACATACTTCCCATTGTTGTTGTTACCGGTTGTTGTTGAAGAAAGCATGGCGGCAGCCGCCTCCGCAGCCTTCCTCCATTGATCAGACTGCACCTTCAGCCTCCTCATCTCTGTCTCCAGCTCACAATTTGCAGCCTGTGCTGCATCCAGCTGCTCGGTCACCCGTATTGTCTTCCTGCTGCTTCGCTCTGCCTCTTCCTTGAGGCACCCCAGCTTCATCTCTGCTTCTTTTTTCTCACATTTCAGCATTTCGTTCTCCCTCGTCATGCTCTCCATCTCTGCTTCTAGATCAGACCCAGATTTCATCTTCTTCAGTTCTCCCTTCAAAGCTTCAACTTCTGATCTTGATTCCTCCAGTTCAGATTTCGTCTGCTGCATTTGCTCGTAGGCACTCCTCATCTGCAATGTGCTCTGAATGTACTGTTCTTCGTTCCTTCTCTCAGCCTCTTCCAGTGTGGCTTTCAAAGCTTTGACATCACTGCTTCCGCCATTGTTTCCTTCTTCAAGAAGAAGCTCCTGGAGAGAAGCCACTTGCTTCTTTGATTCCTCCAGTTCTGTTTGAGCTTTAGTGAGTTCTTCCAGCAAATGAGCTTCGGATTCTTCACTGTTGCTCAGCTGGGCTTTCAACATCTCAATCAAGCTGTGTGTTGACTCAGCACGGGTGGCTTCGGATTCGAGCTGGATTTTGAGCTTCTGGATTTCGGCGTGTGCAGAGGCAAGGGCAGTGGAGTCCAACTCGTGCTGTTTCTGGAGAGCTTCGAGCTCGGATTTCCAGGCCCGGTCGCGGTCCTGAGAAATCTTGCGCAGCTCTTGGAGACGAGCTTCTTCGGAGTCCGAAAGCTCGAAAAACTGCTTCTGAGACTCCTCCACCTTCTCTGACATGGCAGCAAGCTGTCTCTTTGTCTCTTCCACCTCAAGATGAGCCTTCTTCTTCATTGCTTCCGAAGAGCTTAACTGTTCCTTTGCCTTCTTCAGCTCTTCTTGGAGCTGCGCACGCTGTGCCTCCAACTCTGGCACTTTCGCGAGACGCTTCTTCTGGATCACATGGTAAAGAAGCAAAAGTTTCTCAAAAATCATAGACTTGGAAGGGATTGTTTGATTATTCCCAAGTGAATACTTGTCAAGGAAATGAAGTTTAAAGGTGACACTTTTATTAAGCATGTATGTTTAGTTACACAGCACTTGGCTACCTCAGTTGACGCGGGGCTTCGTGGGGACCGCCGATCAGCAACTCTAGGGCTTCTGTCACCCTTTGATGTCCTACTTGCGGGGGACGAAGCAGATTCAGAATCTGCATTGGAGGTTCTCAGCTTCCGAGACGCCCTTGGTGTTGTAGGAGATGACCTTTGTGGCACATCCACAGAAATTCTGCATTCAAGCAACAAAGACACATAAAACATTGCTTCTTGTAAGCATACATAAACCAAAGAGTGTGTTTGGATAGAAATATTTGGCAAAAATGACTATATTTGAAAGAGTGTTGTTTAGTAGCATTCCTATAAAATAAAAATGGCCGCCAGGGTCCCACTGTAAAAAACTAATTTTCCTACCAATTACCAAAAGGATATAAAGTTGTAAATGTCATAGCCAATGGTGAATGTGATTTTCTCTAAAATAACAACCCCATCCATCCCATGAAAATACTCATATTTCATAAATATATAAACTTTTAATTTCACAAATACAAGCATTATAAATAATTGAATATAGCTGTATTTATTTTTTTAAAATACGAGTTTAATCAAATACGGAGAGTGTATAGCACTCAACTTATTCGAGTCACTTTTTTAATATTAAATGTGATGAAAACTAGTTTCTTTGGCTCAAATAGGATGTTTTTTAAAATAAAGCTAGAAACATGTTTTTTTTGGAAGGGAGAGAATTATTTTGGTTTGATAAAATTTATACTTTAGATGTAGAAAAATAAATCAAGCTCTTGACTAAGAGGTGTGAGACCACATGGGTGTTGACAAGGAGTGGATTTTGGTATATCTTTTCAACGTTTGGAAGCATTTCCCTTTGTCTTTTCTTATTTTCAAACAGCTATATAGTTCAAAGAAACCAAGAATTCAGTGATATAATCCTCATTTATTTATGCATATTAATATCACGGCTAGAGATGAGGCAACTCGAATAGAAATAGGAGTGAACACAGTCCGTTTCCGGTTCTAGTTCTAGAAAACCAAGAACCGTACCCGGCAACTTTGTGCACGGTTCCGATTCATAGGACCAGCAATTCTGATTCCAGAAATATTTCCCGTTATGGTGCTTTGACCTCATTTTACACTATAACTTTAAAACGGGTTCGATTCAAGAACAAGAACTGCCCGTTCTTGCCCAAGAAATGTATTTATACATATAAGGATTCAGTTCAGATTGTTGTCGGTAAGGTTCTGAATCTGGTTCAGTTCTAGAACCTTCCAAATCGGAACCTGCGTCCACCTTATTATAATCCAAGACAATAACTTGGAAAGGCCAGTAAATAGAAACATTATAATAAAAACAGCACAAGTACCTTGATTTTGGTGTTTGCATATTTAATTTTTGTGAAAAAAGGATTTTCTTCTTCTTTTCCCCCAGAAAAGCCCTGCTATATGACAATGCACCTGAAATAGTTCAGAGGAAGCACTTGTGGGAGAGCACTTATAATACCAAATGAAATGACCAAACTTGCATAACAGAGGACAAAACAGTCAATTAGGATTATACACAATGGTAGGCATATTAAACAAACTAGCAACATATTGCTTCAAAGAAACTCCATTAATACCCACCTCCACCCCTACCAACCAAGCCTACAGAATGAGGAAGAAACAACCCAAAAAAACAGAGAGAAATAGAAAGCCAAAAAGAATACTTCTAAATGTGGACTATGGAGATATGTATATGTCATTTATTCACTTAATTTGTTTTCTTTTTCTTGTTTTTTACTACTCTTTAAGTCCCTAAATCATGTATAAAAAAATTAAAAATTGCATGAGTGAGATTTCTTTAGAAGATGGGGAAATAATAGGAATAACCTATTGTTGTCTCTAAAAGAGAGTGAATAATAATAATTTAGGAAAAAAATGAAAATGAAAATTCTGACTGACCCTAACCTGATATTTAATTTCAAGATTGCCCCATAAAAAAAACATTGCTTCTTAGCTACACATATTTTATTTCATACTCCTTATATTAAGGTAGAAAAGTGATTCCTTAACATATACTCTCAAAGTATTCTTCACTTAAACAATAGGAGAAAATAATTAAACCAAGCAGAGCCTTTTCAACCCTTGGTTTAAATACGTAGTAAAAACCTTTCCATGAAAACAAACAAACACCTAACATAAAAAACAATTTAAAAATGCCAACACAAAAAAATAAAACATAAAAATGGGCATCCAGCACAGGAAATGAGAGAGTTGGTGTGCATGTATGTTTGTCATTTTTTTCTTCTTTTGAGGACATATTACAATGGTTTGAAGCCAAGCCCCCGTGGGTCCCACTTTTTTTCGCTCTATTCTAAATAAATTTCAACCACACCATTTTATTTTATTAAATAAGCTCACAGCCAATTCAAGAATCTAGAGATGAAGGAATTGAAGCAACATTCATCTTCCTCTCTGTGTCAATTTTACATTTTGGGGTTATATATAAACATAGATCTAACAAAGGGAAACATAAACTCTTCGGTTTAAGAAACCCAAAGTGCCAAAGACTGAAGCTTTGAAGCCCAAAAACAAGCATACATTGTAAACACAATTCATAATCTCGCCCAAAACCTGACCCGAAAATACACAGAGAAAATAAAAACCAATAATACCCTCTTAAACTCCAAGCTCCACAAAATCTCACCCAGAAAACACAGGTAAGAATGAGAAGTAGTAGAAAGAGCCATGCTATTGACCAGAGGGCAAAATGGACTTACCAGAAAGATCTGAGCAGAGCTAAAGTTGAAAGCTTGATTTTTGCAGAAAAAATGAAAAGGGAAGAAGGAAGACTAATTAATCCCTCCTTAATTAATTCCCAAGTTCCAAGAAAATGAGAAAGAAGGAAACCCTTTTTGGTGTGTGTGGGTGTGTGGATGGAGATGGAGCAAAGAAATGGTAGAGAAGCTTGCACCGTTCCCAGGTGTCTTTTTCTTTCTGTGTAAATGTGTGATGAGAGAGAGAGAGACAGATCAGTGAAGTGTAGTTGAGGTTTAATTCCCACACTCCCCGTGATACACGCGCTTCTGCATGTCATGTCCCCTACTTCCCTCTGGCTTCTGCCGTTTAACTTTTCAAATGTGGAGTATTGTAGGACGTGTTTGGTTGGGAGGTTGGGGAACCAACAACAATAAGCCAGTTGAATCTCATAATAGTAGGATCTGTGAGATTGTGTAGACACGGACAGTGTCGTACACTACCCTTACTCGCAGTGCCGGCCAAGGCATGTGAAAAAATAAGATTGGCCATGTGTAAAATTCACATGTTGGGTCTTATTTTATTTTTTCAGAGTATTTGTGTTTTAAAGTTAGTGCTTGATGGTGTAAATTAACCATCCGGGCAAACTACTCTAGACCGAGTCTATGGTGGTTTATTGAGTTACTGAAAGGTCTCAAGAAATGAAGATTTACCTGAAGGACTGTTCATGGGAACACTTGTAGAGAGATAGAGAGATAAATTACACAAAAACCTCTAGAGAGAGAATTCAAATCCCCTCTAATGAGGTTTACAAGTCTATTTATAGTGGGATTAGGAGACAGGCTAGCGCGCGTCCATGCCTGGCCACGTGCCTGGCAAGTGACACGGTGCATGTCCCACTGCCTCTTTTGGTTTGTAATATTTGTCTCTTGTTTCTTGGAATATGGTCAGACTAGGTTTGTTCCACATCGCTGCCTTCCAATGTGCTGAGATGTCATTACGTGTGTCTCAAAGAACCACCAGGGTAGTTTCTCGAACTATTGTCCTAGCGACTAGAAGATCCTTTCTGCAAAGTCATGCTCCTTGACCGGTACTGTGATGGGTACCGAACCACCAAGGCGGTTTACTCTTGGACCCAATTTCTTTGCACGTGTTACTCTAGGACCACCCGGTCGTTTTTTATTGTTTTCGACCCGGGTCAGATCTTGGGTGGGAAAACACCCATGAATAAGTCCTCCACTCACTGGCTCTGTAGGAACTATCAAGGGCGGAAAGTAATTTTCTGAGTCCACATGTACTTTGGTGAAATTTCTAAGCCGAGGGATTTTTTCCGTCCAAGATTCAAATTTTGAAGTTTTGGACATTTGAAAATTTGTCGCCCCTCTACATCCATCTTGTAGTTTGATCTTCCATAGATGTCAGTCATGATTTGTGTCAGGTAGTCATTCCCCCTATGCCACGTGTCGCCGAGTGGTTCGCTGGGATTGGTGGTCTAGTGCGAGGACCGATGTTAATTCCCCCATATAAAGGCTACTCCATTCTAATTTCTTTCACTTTTGTGTATTGCACCCTCAAAGATCAGCCCGGTAGATCCTTGCATTTCGAGTCCTCCGAGTTCGTTAGACTTAGTAAGTCCTCTGAGCCTTTTTCTTCTCGCTTTTCTTAGTCGGTGATGTCTTCTAGTGATAGCAAAACCCATTATNAACTCCCTTGTCTTCTTCCTCCCCGTCATCCTCTTCCTCATCGTCTTCCTGGTCATCTACTGAACCGGTAGCCATGGCGATTCCCGTTCCCAAACCCTTGAACCAGGCGCTGGTCAATTTGACCCCGAGAATGAAACCCAGAAGAAATGGGAACACAAGCTATGGGAAGCCGGTTATTTTCCTCTCCCCACCGACCGGGTGAGGGAGATTTGCCTGGTTGTTTCCAAGATAGCACTTAATAAAGCCATAGTCTAGTCCCTGAAGGTTACATCCTTCGTTACGATCCCGGGTCGCTCAACATAGTGGATCTTCGTGATGGAACCCGATTAGGTTTTCACATTAAGTCATTAGAAGGGGGGATAGTTTTTCTGTTGCATCCTCTTCTCATGGAGATTTGTCAAGCATTCTGATCCGCTTACTCCGAATGCACACTGGCTCCTCAATTGCTTCATCAACATTTGCCGGTCACTTGGCCTAGATCCCTCCTTGAGGTTGTTTGTGTATATGTTTGAGATTCTTCCCGAGAGGATTGCCTGCGAGGGTTTCGTTTATCTCAAATCTCGTCAGGGTCGGACTTTCATTTCTGATTTGCATCCTATTAATAAGAGGTGGAAATCATCCTTTGTTTTTTTCGATTTCTCAATGAGTGAGAATCCACGCCAGTCTCCGGTGGAATGACCACCTTCTCAACTACGAGTACGCCCTTCCAGCCACATCTCCGGACTTGGAGGAAGCTTTCACAAAACTTTTGGAGGGGGATCTAGATACTAGGGTTCCGCTTTAACCCGGGGGGATGACGTCCCGGGAGCCCATGACGTAGAGGGGCAGGGGGTATATACCTCTCCCTAGTAACAATGCTAGGGTCGGGTGTTCTTCTAACCCAAGTTGGCTTTCCGTAACTACATGTTTCTATGTATTTATCCATTTTTGCCAACCTAATCAGTTAATTTCCTTGCAAACATGAAGTTTGATCCATATGAAATGCTGACGAAGAAGGGGGCCACTCATGTCCATCCTTCTAGCTCCTATGACGAGAAACAATCTCCCCGGGATGAACATGTGGCTACATCCACCTGGGCATCCCCTCCTCACAGGAAACAGTCTTCGTCCCTTCAGAAGACAAAGATAGACAAAATTCTTGGGAGAAGTAGGCTTCGTGGGAGTTGAAGCAGGCGAAAGAGAAATCCAAAACCAAGAAGGATTGGGGGGAGAAATGACAGGGTGATGCTCATCAGGACGAGTTCAAGAAGCCACGAAGAAACCCCCACTTGATGTCTCTCCCTCTAGAGGATCTATGGTTTGAGATGGGATTGCGCCTTTGCGAGGTAAAGTTCATTCAAGTCACCAAATTCTCCTGATAATCAAATTCCCTAGGAACTTTTAACACTTTACTTATTTCAGACGGGTGAGATAGGCCAGGAGATGGGAGACCGCATCCTCAAAGGTCGGGACCGAGCTATCACCCGGTTGGAGGGCATGCTACAAGTGGCTAAGGACGAGGTACATGAACAACTTGTGAAGAACAATGAGATGTCGCTTGTCCTTTCAATTCAAACCAAAGCAATGGAAAATTTGTCCTCCCTGGCAAGGGACGCGGGAGTTGAGAAGGATAGGCTAAAGAAAGAAAACAACCATGTGATGGATGAATTCTCCCAATTGAGGGCGTCTCTAGAACAGAAAGAAGTGGACCTCCCGGTCGAGGCCAAAACTTAGGTGAGGGAGCACCCATTCAAGATCGCCTGGGAGCTCATGCCCTCCCTTGAAGCAATGACGACATTCTTCAAGCTCTTCTTCCAAGAGCCAGAAGGGAAGAAGATGATCACCACCATCAGTCCCTATGACTTCAAGGTGGGCTAGAAGAGGGAGGGAGATGCTACACATGATGCTCTCTCTGCCCGGGACCCTGACTTCTCCCTGGAATTTTATGATCTCCCTTCGGTGCCTGAGGACGAGCCAGCTCCTCCCTTCCCTTTATCATGAACTCAATTTTGTGTTCCTTCCTTAACTTTATATGATCTCCCTTCGGTGCCTGGTTTTATGTAACCTTCCAACTATGGATTTGTTTACCAGTGCCTTTTCATACCTTTTTATATCACTTTCTTTTATTTTACATGTCAATTGTATCTTTTTACTATGCTTTATTTTATGCTACCTTCCAACTTCAGTTTCCTTCCCGACTAGCATGTTACCATCATTTGCTTGCACTGCCTCCTCAAAGTCTTTAAGACAATCAGTTAGCGGCCTATTTTGAGGAAGTTCGGCTTGCTCTTTCTAGTTACTCGGGAATGTTGGTGGCCTCAAGGGATCTCCTTTTACTTTTCTTGCTGCCCGGTCATGAACCATCAATCGATTAAGGGTTCCTAGCTTTATCGTTGGACCGACCCTCAGTCCCTGTATGTCGTAGGCCTTGGTGCCTTGCCTTTCTTCTTCTTATGTGCGCGGGGATATCCCACTCTTCATCCCCGCTCTCAATCGATATACAATGGCCATCCGGGGTGCTCTACGGACATCGTGACGATCTAGCCATGTTCATGGCACTCACCAGGTTGACTATGATCAACAGACTGGCCACCGACAACTGTAGGGGGGATGACAACATTGGTGATGGAAAAGTCGGTGTGGGAGGCATGGGAGCCTTCAACGGCACTTACCCTGCGCTGGGTATCACAAAAGGGTACATCCCTGGGAGGAAAGACATTCCTCCTGCCTGTTGGCACATGACCATGACATGGCCAAATCCCTGGATCACTTCCACGTTAGCAGAGTCATTGATGAACTGTGTCATGCTTAGTGGGAAGGTCACCCTTGGGTTGGCTGAAGGTATGGGGAAGAGACCATGTGTCTGACAGATGGAGTGGTGATGGCGGAAGCTGTAAATGTGGCCGACGCGCAACCAAATCACCACGACGGAGAGAGCATCATGAGAGGTGGCAGCCGCCACGACCATCCCTTTAATTTGGTGGTGGCTTGTTTGTCCCTAGACAGAGTTGGTGGTTTTGTTTTGCTAGCTAGTTAACATGGTTGTTATGTGGTGTTTCATTGGTGAATCTGCTCTAGACAAAATAAAGAAAATTGTTATGGTCCCCTGGTCGGTGCCCCAAATGATGGTATAAGTTAACCACACGGACAAATTACTCTAGACAAGGTCTAGGGTGGTTTGCTAAGTTTAGATACGGGAAAGTCTCAAGAAACGAAGATTGATCACGAGGGTTGTAGGTCGGAACAGTGTAGTCTAATTGTTGCTAAGTATGAGAAGAGTACATGGAGAGAGAGAATTTGGATCCCCTCTACTTAGGGTTACAAGTCTATTTATAGTAGTATTAGGAGACAGGCTGACGTGCGCGCATGTCCCGCTGCCTCTTTTTGCTTGTAGTGTTTCTCTCTTGTTTCTTAGAGCTTTCCCTAATTTGTGACAATCCTCATTTGATGCATAGCGCTTGGCTGGGATGCTCAAATATATTCGTTGGTGCAGGGGAATCTGGTAAGACCTCGCTACCTTCCAATGAGCTGAGCTGTAATTACATATGTCTCAAAGAACCACCCGGGTGGTTTCTCGAACTATTGCCCTAGCAATCTGAACC